CCTCTTGCTTCTTTCCACTCAGTAACTCAGAAAATGCTCGCTGGGCCAGGCACTCACCGAGGCGATCTGCTGATTGCAGTCAGGAAAGTGGAGCCACCAATTTCTCTGGGAGATGCATTCTTTCTTAAGCAGGAGATCGATTTCCACCAAGATACGCGGGCTTCCAAGGAAGCCACTTACGTGAATCTGGATGAAGCACCATTAATTCACTGCCAGGGGCATTTATCTCCCTGGCTTGGGGCAGCCACGGTCCTTATCTGAGCAGGGTGTGGTGTTGCTGGGAAAATGGGTGCGGAAGGCCCAGCAACCAGATGGGTCCCATGGCAGGGGTGTGAGCAGACCTGGGGGGGGGGGGGTAGGAGGAGCTGAGGAATGGAGGGGCTGTCCAGGTGAGGCCGGTGCACAGTATAGCATATCCAGCCCCACACCTGTCCTGCTCAGCCCTGAACCTGCGGTGAGACTTGGGTCTTTCTCAGCCCTCGTCTGAAGCTCTGTCTCCCCATCTCCGAATGGGAATAAATGAACTTGAATGTTCCTTCTCACGTTCAGAAGCAGGATGTAGGGTGATAGCAGGCTATGTAGGGAGCCAAGAGAGTTGGGTTTGAACCTCAGCTTCACCTTTCCGTGATCCTGGGTGCTATGGGTAGAATCGTGCCCTCCAAAAAAAGACCTTAGGACCTCAGAATGGGACCTTACTTGGAGATAGGGTCTCTACAGAGGTAATCGAGTTAGAACGAGGTCACAAGGGTGGTACCTAATCCTGTATGACTGGTTTCCTTATTAAAAGGGGACATTTGACACCGGGACAGGCAGACAGAGGAAAACCATGGGAATGAATAGAGGGGTAAGATAGCTGTCCTCGAGCCCATGAGACAGGCCTCAGAAGGAGCCAACCCTGCCAACACCTGGATCTCCGTCCTCTGGCCTCGGGGCTGTGAGGCCATCCATTTCTGTTCCAGCCCGGGCGGGCAAGCTCGTACTAGTGACTCCATCTCCGAGTTTCCTGATTAGTCACGTGGGGATGGGACACCTGCCCTGAAGGGTTGTTCTTAGAAGCTGATAGGAAGATGCCTGCACTGCCCTCCGTGTGGCCCTAAGCAGGCAGTGCGCGCTCAATAATAGCTTGGGCCTGTGCTGTGACCTCCCAGTTCCACGGGGGGTGGGGGGGGGGGGGGGGGGCGGGGGGGGGGGGGTGGTGGAGTACAGGCGGCCGGGCCTCAAATCAAACCTTTCTGAGAGAACTGGGTCATCCTGGTGCCCCTTCAGAAACCTCCAAATATGGAGCCGGCTGGGAGATCACTGCTCACACAGTGCTTAAAGGTTTTTCGCCAGACCGGCCTCAGCCCTCACCAGCAAGGCCGCAGAGCTGAGGTTTCTGCATTTTTATGTCCTGGACACACTTGGAGTGTATCGAGCTGCTATGGGTGATCAATAAGGGCAGTGGTCATGGGCGTTTTATGGGTGTTAAAGGAGGTGACATGATTTTGATGGGAAGGATACTCACTGGGTGACCCTGAGTGAATCCATTATCCTCCGTGGGCCTCAGTTCCCATGTCTGCAGAGTGAAGGAGGGAGACAGGAGTTCTTAGGCAGCATCTCTGAAGGTTTACAAGCTAAGTACCAATTCCTTGCACACGTGTGCACCGCACACACGTATTCCACGGAGAGCGTCGAAGCTCTCCATCGCTTTTGTTTGGTTCTTGAAGGGGCTTCTGAAGCCCACATTGTCCACAATAACTCGCCTGGACAGCCTCTCAGGGCTGTTCATTCCTGGCCTGTCTGGGAATCTGCTGATAAAGTTATTTCTCAGCCTCAGGAAGCAAGTCCTACAGAGCCAGGTGCTCTGTTCCTGGGATGACAGGGACCTGAACATAAAGGAATAGCTCCCCACAGAGGTTATTGCTGGGGCTTTGCTGGCCAGGGATGCCCCTGCTGCCAGCACCCTGTGTCTCTGCGCCAGGCCCTGCGCCTACCCCACAGGCCCCCCTGTGTCCCTCCTGCCCTTCTTTGGATGCTGTGCCAGCCGAACCCATCTGCCTGCTTCTAAGCTGGTCCCCCATCGTGCTTGGAGCAAACCCCAAATCTTTCACAATCCCTACCTGACCCGCCTCCACCTGCCTCTCTGAAGGCATCTGGTCAGTGCCTCATGCTCTGGGCTTGGTCCCTGCTCGGGCCTCTGCCTTTGTTGGGCCCTCTGCCTGGAACGTTCTTCCTGCCTCTTCCACCACCTGGCTCCTCCTTCCAGTGTCCACTCAGATACCAGCTCCTCCGGAAGCCTTTCCTGACCCTCCCACCCCCCTACCCAAAAAGTAAGATAGATACCCACCTTGTTAGCCTCCATCAGCGCACCTGGCTTGCTTCAGCAGCACTACCATGATCTGTAATGAAATATTGATGTGTTTTCTTCCCTCACAAAGATGTCCCCCCATTTGAAGGAATGAACCGAGTCTTCTGTGTCCCTGTGCCTGGCTCACAGCATTTCCTAAGTGCACCCACTCGCATGGCTACCATTAAAATGAGTGGCAGTGCCCAGTGCTGGTGAAGGTGTAGAGCAACTGGAACCCTCACACCGTTGATAGATGCCCAGTGGTACAACCTCTTTGGAAAACAAGTTGTAGCTTTTGTAAGCCACACAAGCACTTACCATGGAACCCAGCACGTCCACTCCTAGGTATTTACCCAAGAGAAAAAATAAGACATATGCCCACACAAAGGCTTACAAATATTGTAGACTTCATCACAGCCCAACACTAAAACCAAACCAGCCGTCCCTCTAAGGAAGTCCCCAAGAGGGGGCTGAGAACCCACCCGGCAGTGGCATGGTGGCCAGGGTGTTGGCAGGGCCTGGGTGACACGGTGCTCATATTCGTGGTTGTTGAATGCGTGTGGGCTGGAGAAAGGCTGGGCAGGTGGAGGGCTTGCGTGGCTGGAGCTGCCCCTGGAGGCAGAGGCTGCCCGAGCACCGTGCTCCCTGGCCTGAGGAGGGGACGGCCACTCAAGAGAAGTTTGCTCTGGTGCTACTAACCCATGCATGCCAGATTCTCGCAAAATGCCAATTAAGACATTTGACCTAAATTCGAATAAAAGCCTTTTTCCTGTGTCAAGTTGAGCTAATAATATACATTTATTCATAATTTATGAGGCCCAGTAAGTGGGAACAATTAAGGAAAAGGCCTTACCAAACCTATTTCTCCTGTCACATAAGCTCTTTTTTTTTTTTTTTTTTTTTTTTTCCTCGCATGCAGTTCTGGCCCCACTGCCTGCCATGAAATGCTATTTTTTTTATTATTTAAAAAAATTTGTTACTATTGCTGTGAGTTACCATTGCTTGAGCACTTGCCATGCCAGCCTATACCGCTCTTTCGTCTTCACCTTATGAGGCAGGCAGGGGGTTCCCATTTTACAGGTGAGGCAGCTGAGATATGGAGGTGAAGGGACTGGCTCAGGGTTTCACCGCGGCTGACGGGGGCATGATTCAGGTCCGCTAGACCCCTGGGCCTATAATATTCCATTTCAGTGTCAAATCGGCAGGAGCCCTCCTATTGGTAACTGTTAGACTTGGGAGATGGGGGTGAGAAAGCACTTGCCTTCTGATTCGGGGTGAGGGAGGGGTGTGGGGTTAGGCCTGAGAACCTGCGTTATTTCTAACATGGTCCAGCTGCTGCTGCCTCTGCCGGTCGTGGGACCGCCCTTTGAGAAGCACTGGTTCAGGCAGTGCTGTGGGCTCAGGGCCTTCCAGACCTTTTCTTGTGTGCTGCATACGTGCTATGGTACCCAGAGAAACGTGTAGCCTGGCTTTTCTCTTTACACATGTGGAATGCCTACGGATATTTTGCAGTTTAATTTCTTGTCTAACATGTCTTAAAGAGTCTATACAGCTACCTCATTCTCTTCAACAGCACCATAAGATGCCATGATACAGGTGATACTGGTTTTATTTACCTGTTGTCTAATGATGGGTGGTCTTCTACATTTTAGGCTTCACAGATATTCCTGTAAAGTCCCTGGGAACAGGGGTGTGTGTTTGTCCACAACATAGTACTCACTTGATAGCATCTGCCATTATGATTATTGCGATGTTTGTTGCTTCATTATTAACTAGAGGCCTGGTGCACAAAATTCATGCAGGCGGGAGAGGGTGTCCCTCAGCCAGCCTGCAACCTCTCCAATCTGGGACCCCTCTAGGGATGTCCGACTGCCCATTTAGGCCCGATCCTGGGATATCCCTCTCATAATTCAGGACTGCTGGCTCCCAACTGTTTGCCTGCCCACCTGCCTGATTGCCCCTAACAGCTTTTGCCTGCCAGCCTGATCATCCCCTAACCACTCCCCTGTTAGCCTGACTGATACCTAACTGCTCCCCTGCCAGCCCAATTGCTCCCAACTGCCCTCTCCTGTCAGCCTGGTCCCTCCTAACTACCCTCCCCTGCAGGCCTGGTCCCCCCCAACTGCCCTCCCCTGCAGGCCTGATTGCCCACAACTGCCCTCCCCTGCTGGCCATCTTGTGTCCACATGGGGGCAGCCATCTTGTGTCCACATGGGGATGGCCATCTTGTGTGTTGGAGTGATGGTCAATTTGCATATTACCTTTTTATTATATAGGATATGGAGGGATTGTTGTCTTCCAGAAATCTTTTTCCAGCTGGGGGCAGGCATGGAAAGGAGTAGGACCCTATTTACAGGTCCTCGTAAAGTTTTCAGCAAAACATTGCTGCTAAGAGAAAAGATGTGCTACGTGGGCAGGGCCTTGAGAAATATAGAGGAGTGCAGAGGAGAAGGGGAGAGCACAGCGGGCAGGATAGTGCTGCCAGGGCCTGGCTTCGCTCCTGGTACATTCGAAAGATGCAAGAGAGTGGGCAGCACTTGACATTTCTTGGTCATTTGGCAAAGTGGCCTTGGCGGCTGGAGGTCCGGACTGGCAGCATCATGAGCAGGATGGTCCCCGCTTGGGGTTAGCCAGGCTCAGCTCTGACCAGCCTCCCTCCTTCCTGTCTCCTCAGGATGTGGGGTCCGAGGAGGAGCAACTCTGCGCTGACTTTCCCGAGCTTGACCTCTCCCAGCTGGATGTCAGTGACTTCGACTCGGCCACCTGCTTCGGGGAGCTGCAGTGGTGCCCTGAGAGCTCGGACACTGAGCCCAGCCAGTACAGCCCCGAGGACCAGGAGCTTTTCCAGGTATGACCTCTCGAGCAGCTGTCCCTGCCCCGCGTGGCCCTCTCTGCCCCTGAAAACCTGGCTCTGCTCGCACCACCTTCTTCTGCATTTGCTCTTCTTAGGACTGTGTCTCTTGCCCTGGATCTGCACTTGATCTTCAGCAGCTCTCATCCTTGCCAGGCCTCTGGAAAGTGAAGGTTGGGAAAAGCTGCTCCCTCATTGGGATGCTCCCCACTCTCCCACCCCCAATCCCAATCAGAACCCAGTCCCTCTGCGGGACAGGGCAGGTTCCACGTTCTCCCTTCCCTGTGATATCTCACTCAGTTCTCTTCTCTATCCTGTGAGGCAGGCATAATTATTTCCCCATTTTGCAGATGAGGAAACTGAGGCTCAGAGGGTTGAAGGCATGTCGCCAGGGCCGTTTACCTAGTCAGTAACGAGCTAGCTTCAAACCCAGTCTGCCTGCCTCCCAAGCCAGGGCTTTATAGCCACGATGGTGCCGTAAGGGGAATGCCTCACATTTACTGAGCAGCTGCTCTGCAGCAGGACTGCCCTGCTTGCGTATATTAATTCACTTAATTCTCCGAACAACTCTCAGACGTAAGTACAGTTACCTCCGTTTTTTAACTGGAGCCCAGAGGGTCTTTAAAAGAGGCAGTTCTGAGAACCACTGTGTATACATATGCTCCCAACCCCGGGCGCACGTACTGGGTGATGTTTCCTTTAAGAAGCATTCTCACGTGGAATACTAGGATGTCTGAGGTTTGCTTCAGAATAAAGCAAGCCCAGGAGCATTTGAGATCTTGCTTCCTGGCATAGGCCATCCGTTTGGCTCCAATGAACTCCCACACAAAAATGAATACAGCAAGCCCGGCGTGCATTTGCGCGTGTGGGTGTGTTGGTGACCTGGAGGGTCACGGATGAAAGGAGATTGGCGTGTTTGTTGAGGCTAGGTGATGGGTACATTCAAGTTCATGATTCTCTCCTTGAAGTGTGCTCCCCATGAAGACTGGGGGGAAAGACCTGGCTTCCTGCGCCTGCCTGGCACTGTGGTAGTAACAGCAGCAGCCTATGTACCACTTGCCATGCAGGTGCGCCATAGCGTCACCTCAGAGGGTCCGGGAGGTGATCTCGTTGCCTCTGTGAGTCAGGCACTGTGTTCATCAGTGCACGGAGCAGCCTGGAGGGGAGAGGGATCCTGGATCAACTGACACGTAAAGAAACTGTGGTCATTGCTCTGGGGGCCCAAAAGGAAATGAACTGGGATGAGAAGGGGTTCTAAAGATGGGGTATCAGGGAAGGCCTCAGGGAGGAGATGCTTCAACGGTGGGGAGGAGGAGCCTCGTGGAGACCAAACAGCAGGGACAGAGGAAACAGTAAGTGCAGAGCTGGGGAGCCGGAACAGAAGGGCTGAGGGGTAGAAGCTAAGGGGAGACCAGGAGATAGAGTGATCAGCAGGGCCAGATCATGCAGGGTCTGTGGGCTAACGTAAGGAGTTTAATTTCCCCCCAGGCTATTCTGATATACAAGTATTAATAACCCATTTTACAGGTGAGGACAGTGACTCTGAGAAAGGTTAAGTATCGATAACTTGCCCAATGTCCCACAGCTAGGAAGGGTCAAGGTGTAGACTAACCTAAGAACCCATACCCCTCACTGCTACCCAGCCTCTCTGCCAACCCCATGAGGACCAGTGGGCTGGACTCCAGGTCTGGCTCCATCTGGTGACCTTCATTCTGTAGGTGAACAAAGGGAATGAGACCTACGCTATGCTGCTCCCTCCCTCAGAGGGCGCCAACTTCCAGAAAATGCTTGTATGTGTGGGGGATTTAAATGCTGCAAGGAGACCATCCCATGCTTACTCAGAGATTGGCCGGTCCCACTAGCAAGATCCTGCCACGGTCCTACTATGTGCATAACATGGTCTCAGAGATCCTGCCACAGTCCTACTATGTGCATGACATGGTCTCAGACACAAGTCAGATTGGTGTGGCCCCCCAGTCCCAGCTGGCAAGGAAGGCAGAAGCCTCACAGATGCTTAGGACTAAGCAGAACCTCTGCCCACCCAGCCCCTCTCCCCGTTGCTGGCCTGTGCTCCCCACCTGCTCCCAAAAGTAGGCCAGCTCCACCCATTATACACTGATGCGCCTCTGTGCCTGTGGTTATGTGATTGGAGCCTGATTCCCGCCCTGCCCCCTCATCGGCCCCAGGACCATGGGGACCTGATGACATCGTGCATTGTTACAGTCCCAGCGCTCTGCACAGAGCCTGGCACTTCCTCAGGCTTAATACATATTTACCAACTGACTGCATCCTTCAGTGCCCAGCTCTCATGTTGCCTCCTTCCAAGGAAGCTGGTCAGCTGCTTCCCCTCGTGGGTTTGTATCCTGTGTGTGTGTGTGTGTGTGTGTGTGTGCGCGCACGCATGTGTGTGCGCGCACGCATATGTGTGCACACGTGTGTGTTTATATGTGTTCTTTAGACTTCAAGCTTCTGGGAGGACAAATAGCAATTTATTTGTCTGTGTGGGTCCTCACCCACTGTCAGGACTCAGTCGTAGGAAGGCACCGATTGTAATGTTTCTTTCCTACCAAGGGCCAGGTGTGAGCCGGTCCACAACCTTGAGCAGGGACTCGGGGGCCATAGGTCCTTCCCCCTCCTGCCACTAGCTGGTGCAGCTTCTGCACTCGACCGACCGACTGACCGACCGACCGGCTGGTGGGACTCAGAGCAGTGCTGCCTTGGGTCACAGGTGTGAACTAACAGTCAAATGACACCACTGCTATGAAAACAGACTGGGAGAGTGAAGAATAAGCTGCTAGGACAGGTTTGACCACGCCTCGGGGGCAGGTACTGCCGGGGCAGGGACGTGCCTACCACGTCTCTGTCTGCCCGGGGCCCACAGTTGGGGCCACACAGGCAACCCCTCAGAGGGGGGAGGAATCAGGTGCTTTGTTGCATTTTTGGAGGAATCAGGTGCTTTGTTGTTCTGTCATGCTGTGCCGTGTGGCCCTGGGCAAGTAGCTAGCTTCCTTTGGTTGGGCCTCAGTTTCCCCACGTGAGCAATGAAGAGGGAACATGGATTCCATCAGTGGTTCTTAATCTGTTGGGGGAGAGTTAGATTCAGATGAAATCTATGGACCAACTCCCAGTAAAAAAGGGGGAAACAAATTTCCTGGGTTTCCTAGGCTTCAGTTTTCCTCCTTTTCCCCTCCCAGGACAACATAGGATTTCAGCGTGTCCTTCCCGCCCTGAGGCCTAAATGCTGTTCTGTGACATTCCTTCAAGCACTCTAGGCCCAAAATGAAGGTTTCCCCCAGATTCCGTACAGACGCCTTTCCTCCAGCTTGAAATCAGCTCGGGAAGGTGGGGGTGGGGCTGCGTCTATTAATATCCCTTCCTCCGCTGATTAACTCTCCATTAATTTACACTCCGTTTCCAAGCAGAGCTGGGGGAGCCGAGCTAATGGGCCAGGAAGGGGAGTGGGGAGGCACAGCCCCTGTACTATATTGCCCTCCAGGGCTGATGGGATGACACTGTGAGCAGGAATAGCCTTTTTTTCTCAGGGAGGGCTAAGGAGATGGTGGAGGCCTTTTGTTAGTTATTTTGTTGAGGCCAACCTGTTGGCCTTCTTGAGGTCTCTGCCCTTTTGTGTCCCATCTGAGCACAGCGCCTGGCACACACCCCCTCCTCTGACTGGCTGTCTTGTGTGACCTCGACAAATGTCTTCCCTGGGCCTTCATTCCCCCACCCTAAAAAGAACAGGAAGTAAGTCTCCCTGTGAGCGCCACCTGTGCGGCTCTGGCCATTGTTGCCTGGGGGGCTGTGCAAAGAGAGATGCTGGCGAGGAAGGAACAGCCACACCTGCTTAGCAGTAACGGGAGTGGAAGCGCTTAGGTCACGTGGTTGACATCCCTGGTCTCTGTGCAATCCGGGAGGGGTCCGCTGATATTCGTGATAATTCCTAGTATCTCGGCCATCGGGCATCTCTGTGAAAGGGAAGTCTCATTCCTTCCAGTGCCTGATGACATCATTTCTGAGTAGCATTCCTCTAGAATCTATTCTTTGAAACCCTAATCTCGGTCTCCCATCGTGGCCAGAATGCATTTTATGGGTGCACTCAAAAAATCTGTCCGGGTGCCTCCCATTCTTCTGGGCATGGAAGAGCTTCCCATCATGGCCTCCAGACTTGCCTTCCTCGTAGAACTGGAGGGAGGCTGGCCACGGATCATGGCTTCCCATTTTACAGCAGAGCAGTGAGGCTTAGATCAGAGCCCTGAGCAGCCCCAAGAGCGGTCATTGAGCCCCAGGTTCCAAGACCTTAACTCCCCATCAGGCTAGACAAGATTGCTCTGGGAACAGGGGGGCTCTGGTCTTTGGGTTGGGGGTGGGGTGAGGGGGAGGAGTCAAGGGAGCTCCATTGCATTCTTGAGCCAGAGTCCATGGGTTCAGATCTACCCTTGGCCCTCCCCATCCCCAGAGCTTGGGCCAGGCCCAAGGAAAACCTCCTTTTGACCTCTCTTTTATTCTTAGCTGTGTTCCAAAAATGACAAACACGTTTGTTCTCTTCTCTCCATGCCCCCCTTCGAGTCACTCAGCTGCGGCTCCGGCTGCAAGGCCTGGAACAGATTTAGTGGGGCCAAAAGGCTGTCACGAGATGCGTATTTCAGATGAACTTCCTGAAGAAAGGATAAACAGCCTGATCTGGGATGGGAAAGAGTGCTGGGGGAGGCATCATGTGACAGCTTGTGCTGCCAGAACAGGCCCGGCGACCAGGGATTACTAAATGAGGTCCTCGCTGCCTCGCCGAGAAGCAGGGTGAGCTCCGCAGTCCAGGCCCCTGGACGTGGGCTGGGGGGCTGGGACTGTGCTCCCTGGCCCTCTTTGCTGTGCATCTTCGACATCAGAGAACGAAGGGTCTGGTTCATCTGTGCGTGGAGTGCTCGGTGCCCTGCCTCTGTCCTGGATTTGCTGTGTGACCCTGGACACCTCACTCAAGCTCTACAAGCCTCAGTTTCCCCAACTGTAAGACAGAGATTGGAATGGCACCCCACCATTAGGTTGTTGTGGGGCAGTATTTACAAAGCCAAATTCTCTGTCCCAGGCCCTTTGTACTTGCTTTTCCCTCTGCCTCGAACCTTCGTTCCTCCCCCTCTTGCCTGGCTGGTGCCTTCTCACCTTTCAGGACTCCTCGTGTAGGTGTCATCTGCTCAGCGCAGCCTCCTTTGACCCCCCAAATAACCTGCGGATCTTCACCCTGTTCTTATTCTGCAGCACGGCTTCCCTTTATCTTCTTCCCAGCCTTTCGCGCTCCCTGAAGTGATCTTGTTTGTTTCCTGGCGTAACTCTTTTCTCCACGGGAGTGTAAGCTTTATGAGGGGCTGTCCCGGTCTCAGCATGTTGTGTCCCCAGTGCCCAGACAGCACCAGGCACAGAGAGCCATTCAGTCCCTATGTGTTAGGGAAGGGAGGGAGGAAAGAGATGGGGAAAGAACAGTGCTACCACCACCATCATCATCTTTATTATCATCAGCACTACCAATGTCATCATCGCCACCATCATCATCATCATCATCATCACTGTCATCACCATCACCATCATCACCATCATTACCACATGAATTATAGTAGTAAGTAGTGAGTAGTAGTTGTGGTGGTGGTGGCAGTAATAAGTACTTATATGTTAACTTATTTAGTCCTCAACAATGACTTTATGATGTAGGTATTACCATTTGACAGGTGAAAAAAACTAAGGAACTTGCCTAAGGACACATAGTTGAAAAGTCCGGGTTCTGGGATTCAGCCTTGGCTCCAGAGCCCCAACCCCTAACTACCACACTAACACCTCTCTGTGAGTGAGTGAGTGAGGCATGCAGGCCCTGGGAACCTGCCGGGAGAAGGTAGCTGGTTGTCCTTGTCGCCTTTCCCCTGCCTGCCTGGGCCCAAGGGGAAGAGCCGCTGGGATGCTGCTACCAGGGGCCTAGACCAGCGCCGGGGCTGTGTCCCAGGGTTGAATGCTGAGGCTGTGGTGCAGAGCTGCTGTCCTTGGCAGAGGGGACAGGTCTTGGGGGAGCACAGCCCAGCCTGGGACTCCGGGGACAAGACCATTGTCCTCTCTCCTGCTGCTGCTCCCAAACACCTGAGATTCTTGGGGTTGATAACACGTTTCCTGGGCAGCATTCTGTGAGAACCAGATGAGGGTCTGGCAGGAGGATGATGATGGCGCAGCTGCGTGTGCATAGCAGGCTTCTGCCGTAAAGACCGCCGAGCCAAGGCATGACTAACCGTGTTCCCCCTCTGCTCTGTTCGTGCTCCCGACTTCAGATAATCGACAGCGAGAACGAGGCCCTCCTGGCGGCGCTCACCAAGACCCTGGATGACATCCCCGAAGATGATGTGGGTCTGGCTGCCTTCCCGGCCCTGGACGGTGAAGACACACCATCCTGCGCTTCAGTGTCACCTGCCCCCTCCTCTGCGCCCCCCAGCCCCTCCCTGGAGAGCCCCCCGGCCAGGACCCCAGAGGTGGATGAGCTCTCCCTGGTGAGAACCTATTTCCAATCAAAGAGATGGCGGTGGCCTGGGATGGGGTGCAGGGTTGTAGGGATGGTGGGTTTTGGGAAACCGACTGCAGCCCCTGGAGATGTCTCTGTGCCTCAGGGGCAGTGGGGTTCACAGAAGACAGCCTGGAGGGGAGGCCTCCTGGGCCTCACCTTTACATCTGTGCAGCTGGGCTAGCCTCAGAGTCTTCACACACAGCTGTAGGCCCTTGGAGGTTTCATGGATTGACCTTCATTGTGTTGTAAAACCTTGAAATTACATGCAAGCATTTCCCTAAATATTATGCACACACCCACAGTAAAAATCAAGCAGATGTGACAGTGAGAAGCAAAACTTCCTTACTTATCTCATGATCGCTATTCCCCGGAGTGTACTGTGGTTACGGATCTATTATGTGACATTCCTCTTCCACTTTTTTATTTTTGTACTACACACAGGGAGCCTGCGTTACATTCTGCTCTGCACCTTGCCTTTCATAGCATACCTGCGTGTCTCTGCAGTGCTTTCAGCTGAGTACAGGCAGCTCTGGTCCATCCTTTTTCTTGGCTGCATAGTGTTCCTATGTAAAGACATACCAAGGCTTATGTAACCAGCCCCCTTGTGGATGGATATTTATGTTATTCCAACCCCTTTATTGCTACAGTGCTGTAGTCACTGCCCTGGCTCAGTGGCCTTTGCCACATGTGAGTGGATACATTTCCTAGAAATGGAATTCTCGGGTCTACAGAGACATGGTTGGTTTTTTCCCCCAGTTTAGACAGATACTTCCAGATTGCCCTCCAAACAGGTTGGACTGGTTTGTACTTCCGTCAGCAAAAGTTGAATGCTCCCCATGTGAGCCTATGGGGAATGTGGGAATGTGCACATGGGGTCACAGCTTTCTGGGGAGAAGGTCTCAGCTTTTATGAGCCCCTCAACGGGGTCTGGACCTCGAGTTGCTCATAGCATTTGCCCTTGACTCAGGCTGAGGGTACAAATGCCAAGATGTGCTGGGGTGTGAAGTCCAGCTACACTCCCCTGTTTCCCGCTCCGCTCCTTGGCGCTATGGCTACTGGAGGCTGGTGAGACCCGGAAAATCCGCCTGATGGAATTGGTGAGGTCTTGGGTCCTGGAGAGTTTTGAGCTGGAAAGGCCTTTGACCCAGAGGGGGGAGGGCCCCTTCTGTGGCACAGCAAGTCGGGGTGCTAGCGAACACGAGAACCCAGGACGCCGTTCCTTCTTTTAAGTTCCCCAAAGGAGTGTGAACCATGTAGTAAGCACCTTGGATGTGATGGACATATGGGTTTGTCCAGTCCCACATTGTGGCTCCTACAAGAGGGCCCTGCTTCCTGCAAGATCAGAATCAGACCTCCTGGGTTTGAATCCCCGCCCCACCGTTTAACGCCAATGTGTCCTTCACCTCTCTGACTCAGCTTCCTGGTTTGTAAGGTGAAGTGCCTATCTCAAAGGCAGTAGGTAATACACCTAAACCACTTAGAACGGAGCTTGGGCGGTGTTCAGATGTTGCTCAGTAAATGCTCTCTAAGTCATGATTCTGGCACGACCATTACTAGTAACAATAAGGAATTCTCCGCACCATTTCTGTGTGGGGCTCTGGAGCAGGACCACACCTCTGCGAGGCAGAGAGCGACCCCTGCTGGTCATAGACAGTTCCCTCCTGTGCCTTGACTGCCTTCATTCCACGCGTTTTTGAGCAGTGTTTCGAGCACTGAGGTAGGCACCTGGGAAACAGATTCCTAGAACACTGTCCGAGTTAGAAAGGCCCTGAGGTGTCCACACGCTCAGTTCTTAACCTGGAGTCACGGATGCCAGAGAGCCCACCATTGGCTCAACCAAGGCCCACGGACCTCTACAAACCTGTGTGTTTTTCTGAAGTCAGCAGCTTCTAGCATATTCTTAGAGAGACTCCTGAGTGGGGGGAAAAAAGGAAAGAAAAGAAAAAAGGAAAGGAAAGGAAAGGAAAGGAAAAGAGAAAAGAAAAGAAAAGAAAAGGAAAGAACAGAAAGAACAGAAAAGAAAAGAAAAGAAAAGAAAGAAAAGAAAAGAAAAGAAAAGAAAAGAAAAAGAAAGGTTCAGGTTAATCTACCTGTCCCTGTTATTCCAATGGAGAAAACAAGGCCCAGAGAGGGAAAGGACTTGCCCCCAGTCTCATGCTGAGTTGGGCTGAGCTGGGTCAGAACCAGGTCCTTTCCTCCAGTCCACAGAACGTTTCCTGTCCACGTCAGAGATCACAGCTGTGTGTGTGTGTGTGTGTGTGTGTGTGTGTGTGGTGTGTGTGTGTGTGTGTGTGTGTGTGTGTGTTGGTTTGGGGTCCAGAAGGGGATCCTCCAGCTCCTACAGGAGTGTGGGATGGCCTTTTCTCTGCTTCCTGGGCCTTTGGCACCCCTTGTTGGGACAACCTGGGGGATATGACCCCCAAGGAAACACTCGGTGCTTTAGCAAAAACCTGCCGTACTTCCTGGCTTGCTCACGGCCGTGGCCGAGATCGGATCTCCGGTAGGGCTCCAGTTGCACTCAGCTCCCTGCTAGCTCGGCTGTGACACGTTGCGTGCCTGCCCTCTGGGTGCAGACGTGTAAGTGTCTCCGTAGTTTTTATGGAAAAACTAGGGAAGCCAGACAAGCTGGAGTGTCACATGCTTCCTCTTGTGTAGAAACATCGGGAGGCCAGAGGCGCTCTGTGTATAGCATTAAGTACAGAGAGCTGATTGTCTAACCGCCCCAAACACACACCAGCATCCCAATAAATTGTAAACCCTTTTCAAAATGAATTACCTAAGAAGGCTATCTGTGACTTTGAGAAACCCAGCCAGATCTTGGGCCATGTCTGCCCACTCTGTTCAAGTACGATGTGCAGGTGGGGCAAAAGCAGGTCTCCAGTTGTGAGCACATGAGACGCAGAGTTTATTCTTGTATTATCATCATTATCATGTGTTCGTTATGGTGCTCCTTCCCATACAAACAACTTGAAACCTACTTTCGCCCCACTCTGTATATTGGGAACATAGTCTAGATCAGTGGTCGACAAAGCACGGCTCGCAAGCCACATGCGGCTCTTGGGCCCCTTGAGTGAGGCTCGGCATTAGAACCACTTCTTCAAAATAGACTCGCCCAGGCCGAAAACCAACTTCTGCACATGGGCCACGAAGTTTCAATCGCACTGTACGTGCGTGCCCACATGTGGTATTTTGTGGAAGAGCCACACTCAAGGGGCCAAAGAGCTACATGTGGCTCTCATTTTGCTGACCACAGCTCTAGGTCATTGAATGCCTGTGCTATGTTCTTCCCAGGGCCTGTGATGACAGGGTCAGTCTGAGGGGCTCGCTGGGGCTTCAGCCTCTCTGTCCTCCATGGCCTCCGGCTGTGGCTCAGCCCAGCTTCTCTCCTCTCTGCTTCTCCCGCAGCTGCAGAAGCTCCTGCTTGCCACATCCTCCCCAGCGTCTGGCTCCGATTCCCAGAAGGAAGGGGCCGCCTGGCGCCGGACCAGCCTCAGGTCCAAAAGTCAGCGGCCTTGTGTCAAGGTATTTCTGCCCATGCCCTGAAACCCATCCTGCCCCCCGGTGGCTGGGGCTGGGGGTGCACCCTTCAGCTCTCTCTAGGAGTTTCCAGCTTTCCTCCTGGCTCCTCAGGCAGTCCTTGTGCCTGGTGTGCTGGGCACTTCATGAGACCCAGGCCAGGTTGGGGTTCCAGAAAGAGCCCCTCACATTCTCTCACACACACCCATGTTCCAGGCAGTGCCAGACTCTGGGCTGGAGGAGGGACCAGGGAGGCGTGGCCTGACCTAAGGGGGCTTTTTCTATGTGGTGACTGCGTGAAACAGATCTCGTGGTTTGGAGACACAGTAAGGAGCTGGGTCTCTTTTGGGGGAGCCGTGGGGAGTTGGCAGCTGTATTATGAACACGTAGGAGCTAGGGCCAGACCTTCCTGAGCCCAGCCAGTGGCGCAGGGGTGGGGCCGAGGGGAGGAGCAGGGCGGGCCTCCCTCCTCACTCTGGTCTCTCTTCCTCCCCAGGTGGACAGCGCCCAGGAGAAGAAGGCCCCCACAACGCAGCCTCAGAGCCGGAGCTGTTCGGAACTGCATAAGCACCTCACCTCGGGGCCATCCTGCCCCCAGGCGAAAGCCCACTCCCCGGAGAGGGGCCTGCAGCCACCAGCCCCCCTGCCTCCCCGGCTCCCCGCCAAGGAGGTTGAGGAGCCGAGCAAGGACCGCCTGAGCCCCCAGCCAGTGCCAGCCTCTCCCTGGGACTCCCCTGCACGGGGCAGGGCTAGCTCCGGCGCCCAGATTCCCCCGGAGGACATGCAGGCTGTGCTGCAGCTTATCCGCTACATGCACACCTACTGCCTCCCCCCGAGGAAGCTGCCCACGCCGGCCTCAGAGCCAGCCCCTCGGCCCTGCACCAACCCCCCCAAGCAGGCCAGAACCTGGGCCCAGCCCTCGCCCCCCTCCAAAGCCACGTGGGCCAAGTTTTCCATCCTGAGGGAACTTCTGGCTCAAGATGTCCTCTGTGATGTCAGCAAACCCTACCGCCTGGCCACACCCGTCTACGCCTCGCTCAGGCCCCAGCACAGGCCCAGAGACGGCCAGGCCTCCCCCGGCCGCCCGTGTCCCGTGGAGGAGGTGAGGGTGGCAGCTTCACCCAAGAGCAGCGGGCCTGGCCGCAGCCTGCGCCCTCTGCGGCTAGAGGCGAAAGGCCATGCCAGCCGGGTGGCTAGGCGGCAGCAGCAGGAGGAGGAAGAGGAGGAGGAGGAGGAAGAGGAGGAGGAAGAAAAGGAAGAGGAGGAGGAGGAGGAAGAGTGGGGCTGGAAAAGGCCGGGCAGAGGCTTGCCGTGGACCAAGCTGGGGAGGAAGCCGGAGAGCTCGGTGTGCCCCGTGCGGCGTTCCAGGAGACTGAACCCGGAGCTCGGCCCCTGGCTGACGTTCACCGATGAGTCGCTGGGCCCCTCGGAGCCCCAAGGGGAAGGAGCCCTGCCCTCGCTGAGCCTGGCTCCCGAGGCCTATGACACAGAGGGGGAGCAAGGCAGCCCCACGGACGAGGACAGTGGCCAAGACCAGCAGCAGCAACCCCGGGGACCCCAGATCCCGGCTCTGGAGAGCCCCTGTGAGAGTGGGGGTGGGGACACCGATGAGGACCCCAGCTGCCCTCGGCTCCCTTCCAGAGGTAGTCAGAGTCCGTCTGCAGGAGAGGGGCAGGGGTGGGATGTGCTGGGAGCCGGGAGCCCTGCCTTGGTCAAGTCCCTTCTCCTCTCTGGATCTCAACTTTCCTTTCTGTACAAGGGGCTAGCTGGGCAGATCTTCAGGGATCGTCCATACACCAGTCAGGGGCCAGGCGCCACTTACTGAACGAGGAGGGGGACGCCTGCCTTGATGGGGCTTGTGTTTTGGTGGGGGAGACGGGTGACCAAAAAGTAAGCACACAAGGAAGATCATTGCCTATGGTGATAAGTGCTCTAAAGAAGACTCTGTGGGTGATGATGGGACAGAAGGTGTGTCTGTAAATTCAGCTCCACATGAAGGTGAATTTTACATGGTAACAGTAGTGGTGATGATAGTAAGAGTTCTCTGTTCTTCTGTGTACCTGTGCTGGGCACTGGTCTAACACGGATGATCCCCACTGACCTCCCCGCAAGGTTATAATTGCCCTGTTATAATCCCCATTTTGAGACACAGAAATGGAGGCAGAGATTCCTTCAGCTAGTCAGTCCCGCATCCATGGGCGCCAGAGCTCCTAGTCTCTGGCCTTGGGCTCCCAGCTCTTCCCCCTGCGCTGCACTGTGTGGCCAGGAGGGGTCGCCCTTTGCACTCATCTGCTCTTTCTGGGAAATGGAGTAAATCTCCCAGGGGCTCGTGTTGCTGAGACACCTGGGATGAAGGAGGCTGTGGGTTGTCCCCTAAAAATGGCAGAGGCTTTGGGTCACGTGCTTGAAGGGAGCTGTGCTTGGTACCAGTTGGGGTCTCCTCCTTTGCTAATGGTGCCATGTTGAGGGATCTTAACTTTTTTCTCTTTTGTCTGCATTTCAGACTCTTCCAGGTGCCTCATGCTGACCTTGTCACAAAGGTAGGTTTTGGAAATGATCGGTTTGTTATTCCATGAGACTTTGTCCTTTTGGGGGTGTACTTCGGGGTAGGGGGCAGGAGGCTGGGTGGTCCATCAGCCCTGAGCCTAGCCCTGCCCCCATGCCCGTGCCCTCATTGCCCCGGGGCCCTTGGAGTTGGGCTCCCGTAGAAGGGAGTTTGCTGTTAGGCACTAGTCTCTGCAGGGAAGGGTGGGGAGTCAAAGCCTCCACCATTTTGGAAGCTGTCCTCTCCAGGACCAGGGAGGGAGTTCTTTTCTCGATGGGGGGAAAGCTGGAAATGCTGTGTGGCTTTGGGCAAGTCTGTCTCCCTTTCTGGGCCTCAGGTGCGCAATCTATAAAATAAGGAGGCTGGCGATCCTTGCCCTCTCTCCATTCTCCAGGAGATCTATCTTGCAGCTTTGAATTTCCTCTAAAAACCAGTTAGTGGGGGAGGGAGGGGTCTCCAGCATTTCTCCCCAGGCCTCACTTCCACGGGCAGCAGAGTCAGGCTCTATCACGGTGTCCCCTCGCCCTCTCCCATGCTGGGGAGGTGAGGCCTGCTGCTGACCGGCCTCTTTCCTCTCTGTCCTCCCCGCCCACCAGTGACCCTCCTTTTGGCAAGAAGAGTTTTGAGCAGACCTTGACAGTGGAACTCTGTGGCACGGCAGGTGAGCCGGGGCTGCCCTTGGGGGAGCTGGCACCATGCCCAGCAACGAGTCCCCCACCCTGAGCAGCCCCTCGGGCGGTGAGGGGTGCCCCCTTGAGCTCTCCCTGCCACTGTGGCACAGGCTGTGCCGGGTCTCGAGATGCACACTGAGGGTGTTCGAAGCAGCAGGCTCGGGGGCCGGCTGGCCTGTGAGCTGATGTCGGGGTCAGCAAAGGTAGAGCCGCTGTCTTCCCCCAAAGGAGCCACAGTCCTCTGTTGGAGACAGACTCACACCCTGACGAGGACTGTTTTGTTCCCACTAATTCCAAAGTATGAGCAGAGCTCTGGGAGCACAGAGGGGCGGTGCAGGGGGCGGAAGTGGGGCCTGGGCAGATTTGCAGGGGGCATTTGAGCTGGCGTTGCAAGATGGGTAGGAGCTGAGGAGACAAAGAAGGGGAAGGGTGTCTCTGGCAGCAGAATCAGCACGAGCAAAGGCAAGAGCAGGGAAAGTACAGAGGCCCTCGAGGAGGCTGGTCCCCTGGCATTGTGACGTGGCAGACCTGAGGGGTCAGGAAAGAGCAACCACAAGAGGCTGAGAGGAACGCCAGGCTGAGGGGTTTGGTGTTGATCCCGTAGACTTCGGGAGCCCAAGAGAGGAAGCGATCTGTGGTGTTTTCTGAGTCCCCTCTTGTGTGTGGGGAGGATGGAGGCCAAGGGCAGATGCAGGAGCACTAAGGACACGAGATCAGATCCAGCTGGGAGGCAGCTGGGAGGTCCTGTTGAATGACGGGATGGGGAGCAGGAAGTTATCCCGGATGGTTGGGGGCTTCGGCTGCCATTGCCAGGCTACAGAAGGGATGGCAAATGGGTTTCATCATGTCAGCTCCGAAAAATGGATGGTGGACTCTGCAGAGTCCCAGGCCATGCCCAGGCTCAGCCAGGAGCACGGTAACCGATTAGTGATGCCTGCGGTCCCGTTGCGTTTGGGAAGTGGGGTCCCACTTTGCCATCCCCAAACTAGGGTTTCGGTGTCTCTTGGAGAAGTGATCTGTCCCCACCTCACGTGTCTCTCCTCTCGCATGGATAGGACTCACCCCACCCACCACCCCTCCCTACAAGCCCCCGGAGGAGGACCCCTTCAAGCCGGACATCAAGCACAGCCCGGGCCAAGACACAGCTCCCAGCCGCCCCGCCCCGGAGGGCCTCCAGCTCAGGGCTGCCACGGGGGCGGCCCACAAGCCGCCCAAGCAGCACCCGGAGCGGAGCGAGCTCCTGTCCCACCTGCGGCACGCCACCACCCAGCCCGCCTCCCAGGCCGGCCAGAAGCGCCCCTTCTCCTGTTCCTTTGGAGACCACGACTACTGCCAGGTGCTCAAGCCCGAGGGCGCCCTGCAGAGGAAGGTGCTGAGGTCCTGGGAGCCGTCCGGGGTCCGCCGGGAGGACGGGCCCCAGCAAGGTGCCCCGCGGGCGGAGGCGCAGGCCTCTGGCTGGGAGGAACGCAGGAGCCGTGACGCAAGAGCACCCCCCAAGGACAGCCTGCTGCTGAGAGACCACGAGATCCGCGCCAGCCTCACCAAGCACTTCGGGCTCCTGGAGACGGCCCTGGAGGACGACGACCTGGCCCTGTGCAAGAGCCCCGAGTACGACACCGTGTTTGAGGACAGCAGCAGCAGCAGCGGCGAGAGCAGCTTCCTCCTGGAGGAGGAGGAGGAGGAGGAGGAGGAGGACAATGATGAAGACTCAGGGGTCAGCCCCCCTCGCTCTGACTACTGCCCCTACCAGAGCCCCCCGAGCAAGGCGGGCCGGCAGCTCTGTTCCCGCAGCCGCTCCAGCTCCGGCTCCTCATCCTGCCGCTCCCGGTCACCAGCCATCCGCAGGACCTTCAGGTACGGGTGGGTGGCCTCTGGAGGGACGATGGGCAGCTGAAAGCCCCAGTTCCCAGGGTACCAGGGGAGGGAGGAGCCTTGAAACTGGGTCTGCGTTTCCCTGTGTGGTCCATGACCTGGTGAGAGGCCTGAGGGTGGTCTCCTGGGAGGGGTGGGGGGCTGTGGGCTAGTCCCGGCGGCACGCAGAGAGCCTGCTGAGTGCCAGCCAGGAGCGGCCCCAATCTCCTGGCCTCAGGAGGGGAAGAACCTCTACTTTCCACCATTTGGAGCCTTAGGTCTAGATGAACTTACTTCCTATTCATCTGTTTTCTGCTTATATACTTGTAAGATGGGTAGGTTTTTATGGGAACATAGACATACCCAAACAGTTTCTTACCTACGTGCACATGTAAAAGGAAAATTAGCATGATTCTATTCTGTGTTCTGAAACATGCCCGGATTGAAAGCAGGGATGAGGTTTTATCCCCTTTTCCAGTGCTGCTGAGTTGCACTGTGACTTTCCAGTCAACCCCCCTTTTACCTTTGCTCCGGGTGGTGCGATGGTGCGTCATGAGCCTGTTTGCTCATCCCGTCTTTGCTCACTGAACCGGCCTGCAGAGGGAGCCGGTCCAAAAGTCAGTGGATTGCTGTGCAGAAAGCATGGAGGAGGTCTGGCATATTTTGTTGGAGGCAGGTTGCTTCTCTCCCTGATCCCAGCAGGATCTTCCTGGCGGGGGTGGGGGGTGGGGGAGCTGAGGTGGGTTGGTGCAGGTCCCAAACCCTCTGTCTGAGATGCGCCGGAGTGACCACTAGATGGTGCTATTGGGCCTAGAGCAGAGCCGTTGAGTCACCTGGAGGGCTGGTTCACAGGGGATCGCTGGGTCCCTGAGTTTTTTATTCTGTATGTCTGGGGGTAGATAATTTGCATTTCTAACAAGTTCCCAGGTGAGGATGCCCAGAGTCCCCAGAGTATGACTCCGAGAACCAGCATTCAGAAATAGAAAGATACCTTTTCTTAGAAAACTTCAGCTTCCTGTTTGCATATCTACACCTGCAGCTCTTCGCCCGTTTTAAAATCTGATGAATGCAGAGGCTCCTCCCCCATTTAAAAATGTGCTTATACATCTACCTTGTCATTCCATTTTTATGGAGCTCCCCAGGCACTAGTGTTTCGAAGCCCTGGACCATGTTCCTCAAAATGAGCTCCCCAGCGATTTCTCTAAAAGCCTTTCTCTATAATAAGCACAGATGATCAGTTAGGACCGGCTCCCTTAGACCTCTCTCCTGCTCCGTTCTCCCTCCCCTTCCCCGGGGCTGCTGGAAGCTAAATGACTCCGTGTTTACTTGAGGCAGTTTCTCTGCCACGTTCTTTCCTTGTTTCAGAGCTCCTGAGGTTCTATTCCTGTCACACCCATCCCCCAACACCAGACGGAGTTGGAGCTGACAGATTCTGGGGTGTGTAGGCAGGGCCTGCCTCCGGGGCTTGCTGGTGAAGAGTTGGGAGCCTTTCTAGAAACCCCCATGACTTCTTTCCTCCACTCGCTTTAGGCCAAGTTCAGCCTGGCTTTTCTGCTCCCTGGAGAAAGGTGACTGCCTTCCTGCTGGGCTGCCTGGCAGAGCTCAGCACCTGGCGAGCCTGGCAAACTAGTTAGTCATCAGCCTTCTCCAGGCCCACAGTGCTTTCCCTGTGCTTCCGCCACCAAACGCTGCTCGGCAGGAAGCGAGCATTCTGAGCGGGTTTAACAACACAAGCCCCAAGCCCCGAGGCACCTTCCAGTCGCTCTCAGCTCTTCCAGGGACGCTGCCAATTCCATGGCAGGTGGACGGTGATACTGTTATTGCGGAGCACGTTACAGTTCGCCGGCCACGTACCCTTCTCTTACCCTTTTTGATGCCTTGGGAGAGTGCATCTGCTTCCTCTCCCCGTTTTATAGACGAGGAAGCTGAGGCTCAAAGAGGTTCAGCAGAAACGCAGGGCATGCAGTTATTATGCACATAGGTCCTGGGCTTGGCGTTTCCGTGCAATTTCTGATTGGACCTTCACAAAAGGCTGAGGAGGTGGACACCATCGTTCTCTCTGTTTTGCGGATAACCTGAAGCTGAGGGGGCTTACGTACCTGGCCCAATGTCACCCAGCAGGGGGGGCGGTAGGGCCAGGCTTCCAGCACAGGCTGTCTGACTGCAGAGCCCTGTTCTTACCCTCTGTGCTGTATCCCATTCCCAGGGGTGCAGACAGCATGTAGGAGAGCCAGACCCAGCCACTCCTCACGGGCCATGCTCCCTCCAGAGGAGAGGGCAGCATGCGGGCAGGCAGGAAGGCACAGGTGTGCCTTCTGGATTGAATAGCCTGATGGCCGGACTGGACATGGGGCTGTGATGGCAGCCCCGGCACCAGCCAGCAGCGGGCAGTGGGTCTGATTCTGCAGACCTCACTCTTCCTCGGGCTTCTGCACATTCTGGTTTCAGCCAATCCTATCCTGCCCCCTGAGCCTCTGGGTTTTCATCTAGAAAATGGGGAAACGTAAGAATGCATTGGTTTCTTCCTCCGATCAAACACGGGAATGAAGTAAAAGGGCCTTTTTATCCACAAGAGCCTGGCAGCAGGTGGTGGTTCCCAGCGATCTAGTCCCAGAAGGTGGCAGGAGGCGTGTGTCCGTGGTCAGCCCCACAGGAGGCACTGGCTGCCCTTGCCCAGGGGGGTCCTCATAGACCTGCCACCCTCCCCACACGGTCCCTTCTGAGAGTGAGTGCCTCTGCTTTGCTTGTTCACTGACAGATGTGAGAGCAGAGGGCCGTGTTCAGATGGAACGCCAAGCGTCCGGCATGCCAGGAAGCGGCGGGAAAAGGCTATTGTAAGTGACCTGGGGCCCCGGAGCCCAGAGCCAATGGGAACCAGCAGGGTGTCAGGAAGGACCGGGACTGTGTAGGCCTGCAGCTCTTTCGGGGCAGGTGCAGTTGGGGAAACAGAGCCAGGCCCACCAGGCCACACCCTAATCCCGCCCCCACCTTCTGGGTGACCTTGGGCAGGTACCCCTGCTTCCCTGAGCCTCAGTTTACTCCTCTGTACACAAGAGAGTTGGGCCTTATGCTTCCTAAGGGTCCCCCAGCTTGGTCAGGTCTAAGGGACCAAGAGAACCTCCATCCCTTGCTCCCCACACACCTCTCTAATCCTCCCCCAGAGAAATCGCACAGACCCAGCCTGCCTGGTGAGCCTACTGCAAAGCACCTGCCCCACACCATTCATCGGGACGCTGGAGGGGTGGGGGTGGGGGGCGGTTTGAGGGTGAGCCAGCCCCTCCATGTCACTGGAAAGAAGGGAAAGGGGCGTAAGACAAGCACAAACAGACAAACGGACCCTCTCTCGATTGCTTTCCCCATGACGGGTGCTTCGGGGAGGAGGCAGGGGGTACACTGAGGGACAGAGCTGTCTGCAAACAGGCTGAGTGTGGGGTGTTGTCTTAGAATCCAGGTGTGACCGACCCTGCAGGAGTTGTGACATGTGTGGCACGGTCCTAGACCCCGGACGACTACAATGAGCAAGACATAGGGTAGACGAGAGAGCGAGAACAGGCTCATAAACAAGAAATAAGCACTGTAATTACAGGTTGGGAGAAGCGCGTGAGGGCAATCACGTCACAGTGAGACTGGGGGACTGTTTTGACTGCTGGGGAGGATGGATTTGTATGCTGGTCTGGAGGCAGGGATTCTTCTAGGAGCTGAGCCCTGAGGGATGAGAGGTACCAACCAAGCAAAGACTTAGAACAAGAGGCCAAGGTGGGGAAGAGTGTGGTGAATTCCAGGCAATGCCCAGAGGCCAGGCGAGGGGTTTACTCACTGAGCTTCACCGAGGCCCATCGTGTCCTGGTGTGGGGTGCGCAGTTCCCATGACTGCTGACGGCAGAGCCTGGGAGGGCTCCAGAGTCGCTGGCCTTGCCCTGCTCCTGGAGGAAGCCTGTCCCAGCCAGAACCTGTCCGTGTTGGCCCTGGAGGCACCGGCTCCCAGGTTCCTGGGGCCATGGCTGGAATCAAAGCAGGTCCAAGCGACTCTTCCATTGGCAGTGGCTGGAGCTGGGCGCAGCCGCAGGTGGAAGAGGAGAGGCCAGACTTCCCTGCCCCTGCTCACTGCTGGGCGGCTTTAGGGGCCCCTGGGCGTGGTCCCGAGCTCTCCTGAAGGTGGCCTCTGGCAGGGTGTCTCCAGGCCCTGGCAGAACCACGGAGAATGCTGGCTCCAGCAGCCCTGTGTCTCCTATCCCGTCCCTTTCCTCCCAGCCCACCGACTCCCTGGACCACCTGGCTCCCAAGGACTGCCGCTACCACCTGGCCTTCCCACCCCCACCCTTCCCCCACTTCCCAAAAATGTCTAAGATGCAAAACAAATGTGGAAGCTCCTGAGCATGAAGTTATAGTAACAGCGATGAGCCCCTCTGCTTCTCGGCTCAGTCTTTGCTCATGTTCTTCAAGGAAGCAATTGCTCCCTTGGGGGTTACTTTCCTACCCCAAAGCCCCTTCTCCAGCAGCACAGTCCTCTGGGGGAGCCACCGTCAGTGCCTCTCCGACTGCAGCCCCTGCTGGTGCCCCTCGCTCAGCCGGGCGTCATGGCCTGGGCGCCAGGAATCCCTGGGAGCCTGCCACCAGGGGGAACCGGGAAGCCAGGCAATGACGGGGTCCCTCTGTGTCCCCCCTTCTCGAGCAGGGCGAAGGCCGAGTGGTGTATGTTCGAAATCTCTCCAGCGACATGAGCTCCCACGAGCTGAAGAGGCGCTTCGAAGTGTTTGGTGAGATTGTGGAGTGCCAGGTGCTGACGAGAAGCAAGAGGTGGGTGGAACCAAGCTCTGGCAGAGGCGGGGGTGGGGGGTGGGGGGGAGAGGGGTGCAGAGGGGCAGAGGCCCCCATCCAGGGCTGGCCACACAGAAGAAGCCCTAGGAGGTTTGTGGAACACATTTGAGGAAATCCACAGCCTGGACTTGGAGAAGGACCAGTAAGGACCGTGCAGCCCAGGAATAGCAGGGGACACGTGCGGAGGGTTTGCTTCCATGCATTCTCTAAACTTCCCAACTCTGTGCCTGTGACATACACACCCATTCTTCCTGTGGCTGACCTTTTATCGGGGACTCAGACAAGGTACCTGAGCAGCTGGTTCGTGGCAGAGCCAGATCTGCAGCCTATGTGTCTGCTCCCTAAAACTGAGACAGGGCAGCCAGCAGCCCGTTGGGGTGAATGGCATCGATGCATTGGAACCTCGCTGCTCTGCAAGCTCCACACTGCTCCTCCCTCCCCATCTCTCTGCAGCAGCCATGCAGAGAGCGTCCGTTCTCCTGGGCAGCCCGGTTTTTCCTCACTCAACCTGGGGAGGCAGTGTTTCCTCTGTCAGGGGTCTGCAAAACTAGATTGCATATAAAGGTACAACTTAGATGGCAAAAATGTGGTCAGTTTTGAAATAATTCTGAAGTACCTCCTACTATACTTGCAAGCTACATTATTAAAGTTTTTAAATCCTAATTTGAACATAATTTTTAAAGCTTCAATGAGGAAATAGTGTCTGCATAAAAATCCTGGCATACCTCACATCCATTCGATGGCCACAGAAAATAACAAGTGTTGGCAAGGAGGTGGAGGAAAGGAAACCCTTCTGCACTCTTGGTGGGAATAGAAAATGGTGCAGCTACTGTGGAAACAGTGTGAAATGGCCCAAAAGATTAGACATAGAACTACCACAGGATCCAGCTATCCCACTTCTGGGTGTATACTCAAAAGAACTGAAAGCAAGATCTCACAGGGATATTTGCACAACCATGTTCATAACACCATGATTCACCATAGCCAACAGGTGGACAGCACCCAGGTATCCATCCACGGGTGAATGGATGAAGAAAGTAATAGTATATGCATAGGATGGAATGTTATTCAATCTTAAAAAGAAAGGAAGTCCTGTTACATGCTATAAGTATGAATGGATCATGAGGACATTCTGCTAAGTGGAATAGAGCCAGTCACAAAGATATACTGTGTGATGCCACTTGTCTGACAGGGTCCTTATACCAGTTAAAGCCATAGAAACAGGAAGTAGAACAGTGATTTCCTGGGGCTGGGAGAGGGAGTGAGGGAGAGCTGTTCAGTGGGTATAGAGCTTCAGTTTTGCAAGATGATGTTCTGAGGATCTTCTGTTGCACCACAACGTGAATATACTTAACTCGACTAAACTAGACACTTAAAAATAGTAAAGAAGGCCCTGGCTGGCATGGCTCAGTGGGTTGGGCATCAGCCCAGACACCGAAAGGCTGCCAGTTTGATTCCTGCTCAGGGCACACTCCTGGGTTGCAGGCTCCACCCCTGGTAAGAACTGTGCAGGAGGCAGCCGATCAATGTTTCCCCTCTTACATCAGTGTTTCTCTCTCGCTCTCGCTCTCAAAAATTAAGAAAAGTATTTTAAAACAATAGTAAAGATGATACATTTTATGTGATGTGTTTTTACCACAATTTTTTAAAAGAGCCATCATACAAATGGAACTGTTTAAAGTCCTGTTCAGTCTTTAGGATACCATATGAGGTTCACATGCCAAAGCAAAAAGCAAATTAATTTTTTATTATTTTTTAATATTTTATTGATTTTTTACAGAGAGGGAGAGAGATAGCTAGAAACATCGATGAGAGAGAAACATTGACCAGCTGCCTCCTGCACAACTCCTGCCCCCAACTGGGGATGTGCCCACAACCAAGGTACATGCCCTTGACTGGAATCGAATCCGGGACCCTTCAGTCCATAGGCTGACGCTATATCCACTGAGCCAAACTGGTTTCGGCGCAAATTAATTTTTAAGGAAGAGGGTCAGTTTGTTGATATTTTTAAAGCACACATGAGTAAGACATATTTAAAGAGGCAGAGGGGATTTGATGTTGTCCTGGCTCAGACAAGTGTCAGGACCCGGGACTCAGTGGAGCGTTTATTAGGCACCGGCTGTAGGTAAGCCTGTCATAGGGTGAGGGGAACCTCCACATCGTCTCTGCCCTGAGTCTGCACAGCCGCGGATTAATCGGTCAGGATTCGAAGAGCTAGGGGTGAGGTAGGACTGACTTTGGGCTCCCTGAGCCTTGGCAAATGTCACAGGTGTCTCCCATGAAGGATGAGATGCGTGCCAGCGAGATTAAGGAGGGTGAGGCCAAGTTAGCAGCCAAGGAAGTGGTGGGATGGGGGAGGAGGCATGGCAAACCCCAGAAAACGGGAATCCTGGGGGGAAAGGGAGTGTGAAGAGCAACAGCCTTCATGGCAGGAGGCCTGAGTGAGGACCCCTGAGCCCGCTGACCTGTCCCCTCCTCCCTGCACTGAGCTGGCAGCAGCCCCTGCTGAGGGGGTGGGTGGTGTGTGGCGGCTGGCGCTGGCAGATATTCCGTGAAGCACCTGCTCTGACAGTTGTTATATCGCAGAGGTCAGCTTAGCCATTGTCCTGGTCTCTGCCTAGGGTCATGCGACCTGGGTCATTGTCTCTGTTTGGAGATCAATGACATGGTGGTGGGTCATTGGCATTCTACCCCTCATCCAGCCATGGGTGGTCTGACAGAGTCAGCCAGGCCGGCCCAGTGACACAGTCCCCTGTCCTGCCCCACAGAGGCGAGAAGTACGGCTTCATCACGTACCGGTGTTCGGAGCACGCTGCCCTCTCCCTGCGGAACGGCGCCACCCTGCGGAGGCACAACGAGCCCTCATTCCGGCTGAGTGGCGGGGGCCTCCGGGGCTTCTGCTGGCCCAGGTACACCGACTACGGTAAGTCCACCGGCCCTCCGTGAACCCCAGGCCGAATGCCCCATCCGGACTCAGCTCCTAGCCCCGGCTCCCTGTGCCAGTGCGGACGGCTCTGCGGCCACTTCCCTCCTGGCTGCCGCCTTGCTTTCCTTCTGGTCTCTGGGCCACCTCGTCCTGTCCTAGGACCGGCACCAAAAAGAGATCCAGGTCTCCCGGGGCCTCTTGGAAGGTCCAATCGTGTGCCCATAGCCACGTGGCAGCACCAGGACCTCACAGCACCCCTGGCTGCCCTGTACCCCCAGAGGGGCATTCCATGGTAGCCCCACAGGCAGCAGCCTTGTCTGGTAACAATGCCGTGGCCATGCCCTCCCCGTTTGGGGACAAGCCAGGGAAGAAAGACAAAGAAGTACAGTCTAGGAGAGAGTTATTTGCAGGGGAGAGTCCGCTGCAGCCTCCTTAGTGTCAGGGGGCTGGGAGAGTCTGGGCTAGGCAGCACTCCCCCTGGCGCATGCCCATTTCTGGGACCCGGGTTCACTGCCAGACAGGGAGGGCATCCTGGTTTTGTAGGCTGCCTTAGCCAGCATGCACCACGGCTTGCTAATGGGCAGAAGGCTCTTGAGGGAAGTAGAATTCTAGGATCAAAGAGCCCTGGGGTGCTCTAAGTCAGCCCCCATCCTACCACGGGCAGCCATAGCCCTGAGCCGTTGGCAACACAGTAGATGCGGGACAGCAGAGTGGCAGAGCAGGTGCCCACCGTCCAGGGCTCCCTGAGGCCTTGGGCCATGGGCTCTCCGTGGTGGCAGATTTTCTGATCGTATGTCCTTCCCAAGTTGCTCACCTCCTTCCCTACTCACCGACTCCTCCGCCCCTCGCCCAGATTCCAATTCCGAGGAGGCCCTCCGCGCGTCTGTGAAAAGCAAGTACGAAGCCATGGATTTTGACAGCTTACTGAAGGAGGCCCAGCAGAGCCTGCGTTGATCACAGCCTTAACCTTCGAGGAATACCTCAATACCTCAGACAAGGCCCTTTCAATATGTTTACGCTTTCAAAGAAAATAAGTATATGAGAAGGAGAGAGCGAGCGAGCGCATGAGAGAATACACATGAGAGAGAGAGAGAGAGAGAGAGACTTGAAACTGCTGTCCTTTTGAAAAAAAAATAATCAATGTTTACATTGAACAAAGCTGCTTCTGTCTGTGAGTTTCCATGGTGTTGACGTTCCACTGCCACATTAGTGTCCTCGCTTCCGACGGGCTGTCCAGGGTGCGGCTCCCAAGTGCTGGGTCGGTCACCCACCTCCCCCGCCCCCACCCCGACTGACTTCCCTCGTAGACGTGCAGCCGTATCCGCCATAGCATCTCTTGTCCGTAGCGTGTGATGATGAAATTGTTACTTGTGAATAGAATCAGGATTATTATAAACTCGTTTTTAATTGAAGAAAAAAGTATATCCTTCAAACAATGTATTTATTGGCTCAGATGTGCTGTGCCTGGGGTCATTGTATCGCTTCCTTGATTTTTTTAACTATGCACTGTCCCGAGGTGTTTGCCACTGAGCTGCTCTGCTCCCTTTGTGAGGACGCCCCACGGGTGCTGGGGGGCTGAGGAAGGGCGGCCTGCCGTCCCAAAGAGAGGTTTCGGGGCCTGGCCTGCCAAGCCCTGCCCTGCCCTCATGTTGCGGGGTTGGGTCCAATTACAATCAGAGCCCAGCTCACACGGAGAGTCCCTGCCTGGCCTTGAGTCCTCAGGTGTGCAGAAGGAAGGCAGTTCCCCAAGAGTTGAAATGACCTGCGCAGTCCCACAGGCAGAGCAAAAACCAGCCCGGGCCTCCTGATTCCTGGTCCCATGCTGCCGCCGTAGCCGGGGTACAGAGGCCACGTTCCAGGGCTGCTAAGAGGGGAGGTCAGCTACCTTGGGCAACAAACTAGAAACCTGCAGGCTCATCATGGGAGTTATGGCAGCAGCCGATTCGGCAGCACCGGGTGAGTCCGAGCTCTGGCGTGCGTTTTGGTCCACGGGTCCTGCGGTGTGCCTGTTCCCGTGGCCGCGCCGCCCGAGCTTCAGGGACACACCCGGAGCGTCCCAGACAGGTGGTCTGGGAGCAGTCATCTCTCCTGGACCAGTCACCACCCTATCGTACCCCCTCCAGCTGGCCTGTCCTTGGCCTCAGCTGTCAGGTTGTGTGGGTGGCATGGGACAGGGAAGCAGGAAGAGGGTTGGGGGCGGATAAAACCACCTCCTAGCTCCTTTTCAACGTAGAAAACCTGCGAGTTGGGCTTTCCTGTACATTTTGGGTTCTCGGGTGATGATGTCGAAGCCATGTCAGGGTTGGATGTTCCTAAGGTGCCTTGGGGGCCGTTCATGAGGGAGCGCATGGCCGGGCAGGAGCTGAGCGTGTGACTTTTGCTGCAGAAAGAGCAGCTCCCGCTGGGCCTCATCCAGACACCAGTGTCCTGTGGTAAATTTTCACATTGAAAAAGAAGAAAACAGGTCCTGCCCCTTTAACAAAGTTTGAGATTGAAAGTCATTAAACTAAACAAGCTAAATTAATCTATTGCTAACGCCAGGCCTAGTCCTTTCAGAATTGATAGTTGGTGGTTGTTTTTTGTGGAGTTTTTTAAGGTTTTCAAATACCTCCGTAGGTGAACTGAGCCGAGGAGCTTGTCCTGGGTGGGGAGCGTACTCCAGGCCCACAGAGAAGGCTGGAAGAGGAGGCAGGCTTTAGAAGGGAGAGGGACTTGGAGCTCCTGGGTGACAGGTCACTTGGTCTCTCTGGGCCCCCATTTCCTTTTCTGTGACATAGACTGGGGGTGAATTAGGCAAGGTGATCCCTCAAGGTCCCTGCCAGCTCTACAGCCTTAGCTTCTGTAGTCTCTAGCTCCAGATGCGTGCCACTGGAGTCACATCTTTGGCCAGTGGCAGACATAACTAATTGACCACAGCACTGAAGTTCTTTGAGCCTGGTTGTGCTATTAAAATCTTAAGGCAGACATTACTAATTGATCAGAGTTTAACCTGTTTGACATCTTGGTCTAATTGTCTTAAAAGTTATGGCAGCTGGGTTTCGTGCTGGCTCATTCCTGTCCATCACATCCTGACCTATGAGAGAAAATTTCCCTGAAATCATTGCCTGGCACAGGGCTCCCAATATTCCTGTGACACATAATTTGGGGTGAGGCTGGAGACTAGGACAAGCAGGCGTGAACCTGTTTGGAGGAGGCAGGGCTTAGGAGGACGGACCAATTAAAGGGGCTTCCTGCAGCACAGACCTGACCATTTTAAATTCCTTTTATAGCTGCTCACTGCCTAGCACTCAGTAGGCACAGGATACATGGCTATGGGGTGGGATTGAAAGCCGTCTGCTGCCTCCCGAGTCCTCTTTTGCACCCAGGAGGGCCTTGAGATTTCACCCTGGGGTAGCCGGTAGGAAAGAACTTGGGATTCAGAGTTGGACGAGGCCATCTCTACGCCCTTCTGACGGGCTTCTCCCGCGATTGCACTAGGCCAGGGGTTCTAGTGTGGGCAGGGAGTGCTTTAGGGTAAAGAAATGCAGATTTAGGGAAGGACAGGCTTCTTCCCCTCTGCCAGGCCAGCCGATGCCGTCCCTTTACTTCGGATGAACACAGGGCTCTTGATGTTACTCAAACTCGGCCCTTGAGCAGAGTAGACATCTGAGCATGGTGGCGGGGGTTGGGGGGGGGGGTGAGGGGGGGGTGAGAGCACTCGATGTGCCTGAGGTCAGAGCAGGGGGGCCGCTGATGGGGGAGGAAGCCTGCCAGGGACATCCAGCAGAATCTGCTCCCCGTCCTCCCCATAAAAGGCCACGGATTCTAAAGCTGACCGGCCCCGTGGTCCTCCTCTATCCTGAGGACTCATTCGGTGCTGTGTCTCACCGAGGAGACTCCAAGGTCTCTTCAGAAAAACTAGTCCACCCGGGGCTCTTTCCCACCAACGTAAGGAGTCAGCCCAGAGGGAGCAGCTGCCGTTGGCAACCACCTCGCTGTTGTCACTCTGTCCTCGTGTTTGCCCTCGATGATGTTTACATGTGATTGCCATGAAGCTTCCTGTAGACTGTGTCGGTCGCCGTCCACGCAGGGCGGGTTGTACTGTCCATCTCTGTGTGCCGTGCTGATGTTTTCCAAAAAAAATATCCGATCCAACCGCTAAGTGGAATTCTTCCATCTCCTTCCTCAGTCGCTACAAGGCTGAATCAGAACCCTCGCTCGCGGGGGCTCTGGTTACCGAAGGAAAATGCATCAAAGAGGTAAAGATTATGAGTGGATGGAGTGTAGCTAAAGCCCCCACCCCCTGGCCCCTTCACACCCTGTCCCCCTAATCAGAACACTGCTTGGAGTAAAAAAGCACCATGTGGGTGTCTGCAGCATTGCCTGAGGGAGGTGCTCGGGAGAGAGGCAGGGTTTCGGGGGCGGGAGGAGAGAGGAGGAACACTCTGAGCTCAAAGACGCAACACCTGATGTGGGAAGAGATGACGCAATGAGAAGCTTTCATCGCCCACAGCCTATGCGCCTCAATGTTCTGACAGCAGTTTCTTCTGGGCACGTGCCATACTCATGCCCAGGCCGCTGTGCAGGTGGGGAGTGGAGGGAGCAGGGGGGGCATGGGCAGCAAGATTCTTATGCCTGGACAGGTCAGAACCCCACCCTGGGCTCAAGTTCAGTTGATTTCCCAGCTGAGCCTGCAGCTCGGGAGACGGGTCATTCCCACTGTGAAGCAGAAGCCACCCCAGAGGATTTGTCGATCTGACTGACTCACTTCATGTCAGAACGGCGGTCATGCTCTTAGCACTTGGCGATGTAGCGGTCACCTTCAGGCATGACCAAGGCAGGAAATTGGATGTACAGTAGCAAATAAAGTGAACCTAACGGTTTCATAGGCCAAAGAAGAGGGGACCCCCCCCCCCTCACCTTTCCTCATTGGGGCGAAAGGAAACCGCTGAGTACTTACGTGCAATATGTTCAAGCTGGTCCCAAGTCTCGGAGGCGTTTGCACACACAGATGGGCTCGGGGCTGCTTACCAACGCTGGAGGCACAGGGTAAATGGAGGGAGGGCTTGGGACCTGGGAAACCCACTGGCACAGAGATGTCCTTAGCCCAAAACAAGGCGGGGGGGGGGGGGGGGGGCGGGGCGGGGGAGCCTGTGGGAGCCTGCTGCACTCGGCCCAGGAAGTAAGCAGAGGCTGACGGTGCACTGAACCAATGAAAGCACTTTGAGAAAACCACAGCACGGCAGCCTGGCTGCAGGTGTCCGCACTGGCAAATACTGGTCCCTCTGGCTGGTGAGGTGCTCTCCTAGGGACTGGGCGGGGCCTCAGGAAGGGCTGGTGTGAGGGAGGAGAGAGCGGAGATACCTTTTGAGACATCAGGGGCAGGAGAGCCCATCCTAGAGCTGGCCCTTTGCTGGCCTCTTTGTTGGAGACCCTAGAAATAGGGAAGTTTAGACCTCGGTACCTTTTTGTTCTTTAAATTGCAACAGGCCAGCTGCCCATTGAAATGGATTTGCAGACCACGTCATTTAACTATAAGCCATCTCAGACTGCGGAAGTCCGTGTGTCTTCCCTGCTCTGTGACCCTGGGCCTCCGTTTCCTCCTCCATCATAGGAGAATATTGGACGAACGCTTAAGTTCATCGAATAGACTCCGACGCCCTTCTCTCGCTGTGCCCAGCTCACGTTCAGGGTGAGGTTCTCTGCAAGGGAACCAACCAGCAGCCGTTTCACACACACACACGGTCCTGGCAGAGCTACTGTGTCCCCGGAGGCCGGCTCCCCAGGACAGATCTAAGCCATAGTTTCTGGTGGGGAGGGTGGGACGTCCCACCCCGGCGTGGCTAGGTGGCTGGCCATGTGCCACCTCACATTAGCCTTGTCATCGCCCCCACCAAGCAGCTCTTATCCCGAATGTCCTGACCACATGGCTGTTTCTCTCTTGCTCTCAGACAATACTAGCAATACACTGGTTGTTTGTTTTTTTGTGTTTTTTTTTTTTTTTTTTTTTTTTTCAAAACAGCTTAACTTAGGCACTTTTCACAGATTTTGGTTTTTTTCTTCAAACGATTGTAAAACATACGGGGCAGCAGGAGGCCTCGATCACGCTGTGTATGCTCCAGGCAGCTTTTGTTTTTTCGTTTCTTTAATGGTATTGCAGCGGGGACTGGAGCTTCGCGGTTTGGAGGGACAGATTATCAGATACTCTGCCTCCTCAGAACACTTTGCACATCTGGAAAGCAGCTCAGAGACCCCACTGCCTGAATCGGGAGCTTGGAAAAACAGTTTTGTAGGTGGTCAGTCCCCGGGGCTGGGCCGCAGCACCTCAAAAAGGTGTTTCTGTATCCAGAAGCCCCTCTGTGCTGTATTTTTCTTGTCAAAGGATCCTTCCAGGAAGCCTAATAAAACCTTTTCCACTTCGCTGGCCTTGCTCTGGGTGATTTTTTTTTTTTTTTGAAAGGATTGGTTCGCTTCCACTTCAGCACTTTGCCTTATCAACGTCTAGTCGCCATCTAGTGGCCAAAGACTGTATCCACCAGCTACCCAGATGGAAGGCAAATAAATCCTTTCTGCCACTCTGCTGTCCAACAACACCCAATTTGGGAAGGAAGTGTGATGTCACGAGTGAACTGTCTATACTATTTAGAGCCCGGTGAACACTGCTCAGGAGAATCAGGCAGCCACCTAGATGCACACAGACTGAGCAGCACACTAACTCCCCTGTGGGCAGAGGAGTGGGCCCCGTGGCCAGCGGCCCGGGAGGGGTTGACTGTAACTGCAGTCATGGCCACCCAGCTGCTGGCCTTACGTGAGCCTCTGCTGGGCGGCCTGCGCTGCCCCTCGGGACAAGCCACGAGATTGGGTGTCAGGATTCTGCGTGGGGCTGCCATGGCCTCTGATAGGGTCCACCGAATAGCCAAACAGTTTATATACTTTTGTTGTTAGTTCGTTTTTTGTTCCTGTATTTTGTATTTAAAAAATCTCGTCAAGTGTTTTTGTGTTAGGAATAAAAAGTCATACACTATTTCCAACTTTGTTTCTTGAGGGATGCTCCGATTCCGAGGGAAACGGGTTGGAAATCTCCAGGGGCGTGTGGTCAGGCTGGCCGGTGGGACAGGGAGGTGGACCACATTGCTCTCCAGGTGGTTTCTGGGGACAGTGACCATCCGGAAGTCCGGCTCAGTGCAATCCACTCCGGAACTTCACACCTAACCCCCTTCACCTCCTTGTGCCACGGTCTTAGCACTGGGTTTGAGCATCTGCTTCTTCCAGGGGCAGCTGCTGATGTGGAAACCACCATCAGATCTCTCCCCCCAACCCCAGGTTTCTGAAAAAACAGTATTTGTAGGTAGCCTTAATCCACTGGGCAAGGCGGTCCCCATGTTCCAAGCATTTCCAAATTTTGGACTCAAATCCTTTTCTCTTGGTGTGACCATGCAGCCTGCCCTCGAGAATTCTGAGCAATAGGAGGCCAGGGCTTTCTCCGGCTCTGTGACAGGGTCAAACCAGGGAATGGCTAACCTTGTGAGGTTTGGGTATCCCCAGGGGTACTTCGTAGGGGGCATTATTTATTAGGAAGCTCAACAAAGTAACTACAGCCTGGGGTGCAAGAGTGCAAGGCTGTGTGTGTGTGTGTGTGTGTGTGTGTGTGTATGTGTGTGTATGTGTGTGTGTGTGTGTGTGCACCCGCATACCTGTCTGTGTGTACGTGTATGTATGGAATTACATTGATGCATTTCTTGAGAAAGGTGCAAGAATTTCACCTACACAGAGGGACACATCGCTTTGTTATTTATAATAGAAAGCTACATTTTAATTTTTTTTAAAGGACACTGCTAAATGATTGGGAATCTCGAGTTTTTAGTTTTGCTATTTTTTTTTAATTGGTAGAGGATTTTTATATATTTTTCCCCATTGTGTTGGGTTGTGTCCTTATTTATATAAATACTTTGTCCGTAAGAGGCAAGGAAAAAACCTTCTTTGCTTTTAATTCTTGTGGTCGTCGCCGTCCTTATTTTATTACCGGTGTGATTCACCCGTCTTACCTTCTGAATGAGAAAATGTTTCCCCTGTCTTTGTACATTGTCAGATTCTATAGTTTCATAGGTAATTTATCCAGATTGCTCTATGTATTATTATTCTGTGAGTATAAAGTTCTATTTTAACGTCTGTAAATACTTCAGAAACTGGCTTCTTTTCTGACTCCCACTGCGGAGCTATTGTTTACATCACAGAAACTGTAGAATCTCTATGCTCATGTACTGTAAATAGTGAAGTGATCTGCTTATAAATAAACTTACAAATACACTATGGAGATTAAAAAGGAAATACCACCCACCGCCCTGCCCAGGTGTGTCTTTCTTTGTGGGTCCTGAATGCTCACGGAGGGGCTGGGGAAAGGATTCTGGTCTTGGCATCACCTTCTCAGCAAAGACCCCAGTCAAGGCGTGTCCTGCACCCCATCCGGAATTTTCCGAGCTCACTTCTCTTTCCTTCCCAGGTTCACAGCGCTTTTCTTGGCTCATAATGAATCATTCAGACTCCCCTCGCGTAGCAGATGGCCCATGACCGGCTTTGGCCGTGACTTTTAGAAAGCTCTACCACTCTCTGCACAAGGACGCCCTTGTGTGGGTGTAGCAACGTTTTCACACTAAGTAAATGTGCTGGGTGCGATGTTTTGACATTGTGGTTTCAGGCAGAAACACTCACCAGCTGACGGCTCTAAGGCAGCATTTGCTCAGAGGCGGCGGAGAACAGGTTGGGATTGTCCTCCGCAGTTGTCAGTGAGCTAGAAACGTCTCCCTCGGCTCACCTACCCCCGGCCTTTTTTCCAAGACTGAGCCTTGCGGGTGTGCGTATATGTCCTCAGTCTCAAAGCACTCTTCTATCTAGCCTTTATTTTGCCCTAAAGGAGCTGCGTTAATGTTTTGTTTTTTAACGTTAGTCTTTTTAAGTGCAATCTGAGAGCATGATACACCCAGGTGCCCCCAGAGGGTTGAAAAGCTGGTGAGGAGGATCACATACAAATAACAGGTACAGTAAGCCATTCCATCTTATGTGCAAATGATTCTCAGATTGATGTGGGTTTTGTTTTGTTGCCTATAGAAATATTTTGTCATTGTGTGTGTGGGGGGGGGGTATTTTTTTCAATCTGGAATTTGTCTGGATTGTTTTGGTGGGAAGGGAATGCGTCGTAATTTTTCCCTTTAAAAATGATGGGGTGCCCACACTTAGCGGCGGGTTCCCTGGCAGGAATGAGAGTCCTGAGAGAGGTTATGTGATTGATTACTCGATAACTGTCACCCCATTACTAGATGCTCACCTCCAGGAGAACGGGGTGCTGCTCCATTCACGGCAGGGTGCCCAGCCCCACTCGTCAGGAACTCATGCGCGAGTGAGAAGCGCCTGTCCGGGGCCTGATGACTGTGCTGAGCCAGGGAGGCAACCAAGCCACCAAGTCGCAGGTGCAGTCGGTGATGCAAGAAATAGAACGGGAGCCTGTGCTTGAGACCTGGCTCTGCCACCTTGGTATGTGCAAGCTGAGGCAAGGCACCTCTTAGGCCCCTGCCTCCCCAAATATGCAACAAGATGACCCGCTGAGAGGGACTCCAGGCCCTAAGTCAGGTGGATCCTCAGAAGCAGCAGATTGCAGGCAAAATGATGGTAAGCCGGAATCGAGCGTCAGGCTGCTGGGCTTTGAGTCCTGACTTCACCACTTGTCAACTGGGTGTCCTTGGGCAGGTTTCTTAACCTCTCTGGGTCACTTCCTCGCCATGTGACAAATGGGGCTAGTAATCGATCCCACCCTATTGGGTTGTTTGTGAGGATGAATTTAGACCGTGCACAGTACCTAGGACATGAGAGGCACTTTGTCAACATGAGGTGCAACCCTCATTGTGCGTGGCAAGGATCATGACCCAGGAGGGAAGGCTGGGGACAATGGAGAGTGGAGGGAACCTGCTCCCGGGACCGCGCCTGCACCAGCAGCACCGCCTGTGTATTCCTGGTGCCCACTGTGTCCTCTGCCGCTTAACCACTACATGTGACGGGCGTAGGAACGTGCCTTTGCTTAACAGACCCCTGCTCTGAGAGTGTCCACTTCAGGAGGCCAGACAGTCTCGCGTGGGAGGTAAGAGGTGAGGGTTCTGGGCCCAGCTCCCTGTTGACATGACTGAAGCCCTGGGCAGGGCTCATGCGTCAGGAACTCCGACTGACCCTCTGTGGAGTCCCAGGACCCGTGCCCCGTACACCGTGTTCTCTGAGCATGGGCTCCGGCTCCCGGAGGGAAGCCAGGGAACCGTGCTGTGAACTTCGCCCAGCCCATCCCCTGGCAGGCCCTTGACCTCCTCATTTGTCTAAAAAGGGGAGGTGAGAGCAGACAGGTGGTTTAAGGACAGTTCAGAGGAACCGTGTTCTCCTCCTCAGCTCCTAGAGCCAACACCGGCTTGTAGGAGAACCAGGGGCAGAGGAAGCAAACAGACACATCCAGAATATGGGTCAGCTGACACTCTGCCACAAGGAAAAGACTTAAACCCACTTAAGAGACAGCTACACGTGTAGAACTTGTCTGGGTCAGATTCGAGCAAACCAACTCTTAAAGACATAGTTGCGACAATGGGGGAGAGCTGCTGTCCCGAGCTGGATCCCCAGAAGGCAGCTCTGCAGTGGACCTCACCCTGGAGCTGGGGTGGCCCTGAGAGCTGTGCCGTGTTGGGCCAACAGGGCCAGACCTGAACTCCTGGCATGGGTCAGTCGTTGGCTGCAGGCCACGCAGGGGAAGGCCACACACCTTGGGCGAAGAGTCTCCGTGCAGCTGAGGTAATCCCCACGGGCGGCACGGGGCTGTCTGCCGGCAGCTCTCACAGCCACTGGGACCACAAGTCCTCTCCACAGTGAAGGGTCTGGACACAGTATAACCACCCTGGAGTCTAGGTGTTCATTTGTTGCCTGTGATAATGAGGTGGTTGCATCAGAAAACGCCCAAATGTCTGGAATAATATGTCTGGAATTTTCTTTTAAATACTTCAGCCAAGATAAAGTTGAAGAATATAAAAAGGACAGATGAAACAAATGTGGCAGAAGCCACATTTGGAATAGGGGGACAGGTGGGGATTCATTGTATAATTCTCTACTTTTGAGGATGATTGAAAATGTTTAGAATGAAGTAGAAATGAAAGCATAAGGACAAAAAAAAAAAAGACTTGACGTGGACAGTTGAACCTGGCATTCACTACATATTTAATTGATGTCGATGACAGCTAGAATGTTGGTTTCAGATCAATCAAAAGTTCTCAAGGCTGAGAACTTGAAAGGCCCTCGGTAAGATATAGGCTAAGTTCTCATTCAGCTTGCAAATCCTGTGGCTCTTACTTCTCAAGAGGTGTCCTGTTTGCCCGTGGCTTGGGTGATCTCTTCGCACGCAGGGCAGTGCCATTCTGGTCAGTGGGTTCCCCATGGGCTACTGGATGCAGCAGGACTTGGATGCAGGGGCGCCCCCTCCAGGGCTGGGGTTCCCCCCGGGCTGATTTCCCGTGGCTGCTGAAATCAGACAGAAAGACAGCACACCAGATAAGAGGAGGCTGCAGCATCGACCAAGAGTTGCAAAACCAAGGGCTTTCAGAGGCCAGCAACTAACCACACATGCAGAAGGCAAGCCAAGTATAAGGGGAATCAGAGAAAGCAAGAGTGTTTCTCTATACTGAGAAGAATAACAGCAATCATGATCAACGGCAACCCACACTTGGCACTGATGTCTGAGAGAGAACAGGGTGTGGTGGGGACTGTGGCAAACTGGAGAGATTCCCCTGTCCCATCTCCAGGGGTGAGGAAAGACCTAGCCGGTTTGGCTCAGTGGACAGAGCGTTGGCCTGCGGACTAAAGGGTCCCAGGTTCAATTCCAGTCAAGGGCACACGCCTGAGTTGTGGGCTCGATCAGGAGGCAGCTGATCAGTGATTCTCTCCCATCATTGATGTTTCTATTTTGCCCTTGCCCTTGCTCTCTGAAGTCAATGAAAATATATTTTTAAAAATAACATAAAGGGGTGGGAGGGGTGCCACCCAGCTCCAGCTAATGGTTCCTATGCAGAAATCCAGATGGGTGTGGCCAGGTGTTGATCTTTTCAAAAGACATGCCAGAAATCTAAACTTTTAAAACTGGAACTCTCTCCATTTGTAAAATACAGGCAGCAAATTCACACTTAGAACAAATGCCAGCCAAACAAAAGACACCTTGCGGGCTGTAAGGTAGCACAGCCCTGCTGCTAGCCCAGGAGACAATTTGTGCAAATTAGCAAAAGGCACTTCTTCCACTGGACACCTGACTGCCATTTTCTGGAAAATTGTAAGTATGATACAGATCTGCGGTGGCTGTCATTTCAATCCTGGAGCTGTGAAAGCACGGCTTACAGAACCCTGAGGGGTGGCCCCACAATTGTAGCCACCAGTTCAGAATCACCCCACTGCAGAGCAGAGCAGGAGACCTGTCCGGGCTGAGAACCATGGGCACAGGGACGTGTGCAGAGGAGGACGCTTGGTGTGGGGCGGGGAACCAGAGCCACACAACCAGTAAAGGAAATGACTTGGGGAGCAGGACTGGGAAGAGATGGAAAAAACAAATCCCATTCCATCCCCGAAGGCAGGACGATGGCCATGAAGTGACTTGGCCACAGAACCTCTGCCAGCCTCAGTGCTCTCCTTCGTAAAATAAGGACAGTAGTAGGTGAAGGCGGGGTCTGAATGGGACCCCGGGTGTGTGGCTCTGCAGCCAGGCTAGGCCAGGCACACCATCAGCACTCTGTATGGGGGTCAGGGCTCCCCGCCCACCCCACCCCCACTAAGAACCTTGCTTGGCTGCCTGCTGCTTCTGCTTCTCCTCTTCCAGAGCCTTCATCTTGGCCTCATACTCATCAGCAAGTGCTTTCCACTCCTTGCGGTTGTTGGTGATCCCATCCAGCATGGGCGTGATCTCCTCGTGGAAGCGGGAGAATTCCTGCAGGAAAGAGAAGTGCTCATCTCCTTCCCTCTTCAGAAACTTGGGAGGAGGGGAAACAAGATTTCTCTCTCTCTCTCTCTCTCTCTCTCTCTCTCTCTCTCTCTCTCTCACACACACACACACACACACACACACACACACACACACACACCCTGCAGAGTTTTCGGCGAGCAAACTGATATGCTGATTGATGGGTAGCTTTGCCCAGGGAAGAAGGGCAAATCCAGGGCGGGCTGTGCTCAGAGCTGCCTGGGTTCAGATCCAGGCCCTGCCAAGAGCTGTGTGACCTTGGGCGGGTCACCTGCAGAGATAAAACCTACCTCACAGGGCTGGTAACACGCATAAAGCCCTTAGCCCAGGCTTCTTTGATAACACACTGAGGATAACAAGAGAGTATCGGTACTCTGCCCTGGTGCTCAGAGCATGCCCCGCCACCGCCACCACCACCCCACCCCACCCCGGCCCCATGAGCCTGTGTTATGTCAGAGAGGCACCTGCTCACCTCTGGGAGCACTTGAACTTCTTCCTAACCAAAGCAGTACAGCTCACACAACAAAAAGGGCCCTGGGCCCAGGGGGAGGCACTCTGGCTCTCATCCCATCTCTTGGCTGACCCCGGTGACCTAGGGCTTGTCATTCCTCATCTCTGACCTGTGTTTCCTCACGTGCAACATGGCCTGAGTAAAGGTAACACGTGGGAGGTGAACGATGGCACTGAGCAAGAGCTCAAAGAGAAATTCCAGGTTCTCTTCCGACACTGGGTTACACTGACCCGTCCGTCACATTTCCACCGCTAGGGCAGGGAGGAGGCTGTGAGTCTGCGATGCTGCCCCTTCCCTGTGTGAAACCTTGCTTAGTCACTGGTCCCATGAGACCCCGAGGGCTGTTTGGGGACCAGAGGCCACTGCAGAGGAGAAGGGCTTCGTAAAATACCACCGGCCGGCCACTTGCCAGGGTTTATTATTCCGGCTGGCATCTGGGAACCCCAGCTTTATCAGAGACAAAGGCCTGGGCCTGAGAAAGCTGAGGACCCACCTTGTAGACAAAGGTGCAGACGAAGTCGATGAAGCCGACCTGCAGCTTGGGGAGCTCATCCGCCTTGTTTCTGTCCATCATGGGCTGTCGGGGGAGAGAAGGAGTGAACTGCGCTGCCACCCCCACTCCCACCCCTAGCAGCACCGGGTCAGGGCCCCTCCTGCCCTGAGGCATTCTTGCCAAACCAAGACCAAGCCTCCTGCTCATCCAGTTTCCAGATCTAACCAGCAGGTTGCAGGAAGTACAGGGCTAGAGGGACATATTGAATAGCACCACCAGGTGGGAAACTGCACAACAGAAGGCCCACCCTCTTCAGCAAATAAAGACTTACAGAAGGTAAAAAAAAAAAAAAAGGAGAACCAGGAAACAACCATTGATTAAAAGAGACAAGAAACACAGCAACAACCCAGGAGGGCCTTTATTCCTGGATTGAGTCCTGATCTGAACAAATCAAACAAAATGATTTTCATTCCTCAGCAGGGAAAGTGAGGGAGCTGGGGATTAGCTGATATTCATGAATTATTACTAATCATTATCATGAGGTGGTAATGGTACGGTGGTTGTGTGTGTTTGTTTAAAGTTCTTATCTCTTGGCCCTAACCGGTTTGGCTCGGTGGATAGAGCATCGGCCTGTGGACTGAAGGGTCTCAAGTTCAATTCCAGTCAAGGGCATATACCTTGGTTGTGGGCACATCCCCAGTAGAGGGGTGCAGGAGGCAGCTGATTGATGTTTCTAACTCTCTATCCCTCTCTCTTCCTCTCTGTAAAAAAATCAATAAAATATATTTTTTTAATACAAAAAATAAAGTTCTTGTCTCTTGGAGATACAAACCATAATGTATTCATGGAAGAAATGACTTCTGAGAGTTACTTCCTTAAAACACTTCCGCCAAAAGATTGAAAATGCACAGGAAGGGGAGTAGATAAAACTATGGCAGGCTGTGGCTAATGGCTGGACCTGGCTACAGACAGTTCACTGGCCCTGCTCTGTACACGTAAGGTGTAACAGGAAGAAGAGTCACACATCCCACCGGTCCTTGCTGTTCACGTCCATTGCCGGCTCCTCACAGCCCCGCCACTCTCCCTGGGGCCTCACGTGGGACCCAGCCCTCACAGGTTAGCCCATCCCCACACCTGTGAGTCTGTCCCCACAGGTCTCTCTCTTTTACTCCACCTTTACCTCCTAGCTCTGACCTCATGCCGAGCCCTCGGCGAACCCTCTAACTGGCCTCCAGTGGGAGCTGGCTGACTGTCTGGTCAGGGTGAACTATCAACGCCGGTGGGTTCTCAGCTTGACAGACAAGATCTTTCTCCCCTGGCACCCTCTGATGTGAAAACAGGGCCCGGGAGGTGGCCGCCCAGACTGTTGGAACTAAAAGGGAAATCCAAGTTGTGGCGTCTACTTGTCGGTCTCTACTTAGCAGAGTGGGCTAATGCTATATACCTTAGAACAGGGTCCCAGGCCCTAGGAGGGTACTCTTGCTGGGCTCCCCCCGCAGTTTCTGCTTAGGGAGGGATGGTTGGGGCCTGTGAATCTGCACCTCTAACACGTTCCCCAGTAAGGAGGCTGACGATGGCCGCACGGGGAGCAGCCCTCTGCAGTGGCATCTGGTCCCCAGTCAGGGAAAGGTCCTCTCTGTGTCAGAGGGTGGGGAATGGGCACGTCTCTCTGTCAAGGCAAGGTCACAGGTGTCCCTCGGGAAGCAGCCGCACACCATGTCAGGCTGGCGGGACTCTCTACTCACAATGGGGTTCTGCTGCAGCACCGTGCGCTCCAGGTCACCTTGCTCCCAGAATTCAGCAGCCACCAGCAGAGCTACCTGCAACAGGCAGACCCCCCAGCCCCGAGTCAGCCCCAGCCCCAGTCCTCCTGCCCGGGTCCCACCATTCTGTCCTACTCCACATGGACTTCCAAATCAACAAAAGCATAAAGCCCCCCGGCCCCGCCACCCCCACTTTACTTCACTAAAGTGAGTTCCTTGTCTTCCCGGAGGAGGACCATGGGGCAAAGTGGGCTGCCTCTGGAGCTGGGGATCCCAAGCCGCCTTCGCCGCTGCCAGCAGTACTGGGACCCCCCTCCTCTCGGCTCAGGAGGAGTCCGTACCTTGCTCTGCACCTCCCACGGCTTGGTGATGGCTGAGAGATCGCAGGCGGTCATCATCATGGCCCTGGGCACGGGACACCACCCATCAGTCCAGAGCCATTGAAGGCTGCACATTCTGGTGAACTCCACCCATCTCTTCTTCCTGACCCCCAACCAGTACCTGACCTCACCCCATTGTGAGGAGGGGGCGGGGGGGGGGGGTCACTTCCCCAGTACATCTGAGGTGGGGCTTTGAAGTCAGACGGTGGTTTACATCCTGCCTCTGTCGTTTACCAGGAGTTGGACATTGAGCAATTAAACCAACCTCTCTGAGTCTCAGTGTGCTTGTCTGCAATAATAATGGTAAATTTCTGCGTGGGGTGGGTGCAAGATTGAATGAGATAATGTGTATAAAAATCTTAGCAAAAAAACCCCCACACACAAAATAAAACCAAAAAAAATCTTAGCATGCGCACAATAAAAATTGGCAATTATCATGAACATATTTTGGGCTTTTATGATATACCACACACTGTTCTAGGCATTTTGTAGACATCAATTTCATTTCAGTCTCATCCCATCTTCTGAGTTCCTTCTCGCGCGTCTAGTATAACAATGTCTGTCAACCTTTTCCATCATCCTCCCCATCTCCTGCCAAAAATCCTTTTTAGACAAAGTTTTTCTATAATTGCTCCACCACAAAATGTTAATTACCACAGACATACTGTATATCTGTTTAGAGGGCCACAGACCATTGAAACATATAAGTTTTTTTGCTCATTCCCAAGAACCACTTTTGCCTCATTGGGCACTGCTTGTGTGGCTCATTCACTGTGAGAAAGCTTTGCATTAAGAAGTAGAGGAAGGATTTGCCAACACTTATAAGTAATACACTTGAGATCTTCACATTTCATTGTAGGTAATGTTTGCCTTAAAAGAAAAAAAAAAAAGAGCAGTAAACAAATATTGACCTCTAGTTAATGTGATACGTGCTGAGGTATTTGCAGGAAAGTGCGCTGATGTCTGCAACTTGCTCTGAAATGCATCCAACAAATAAGCCAGATTAACAGATAAAGGGGTTAATTGACAATATTGAGCAGAATCTGGATGGTGGGCATAACGTTCTTTCAACTCCCTGTGTGTCTGAAAATTTTTCCTAGTAAAATGTTGATGTAAATTGTTTCCATTTCTTTCATCTATGACCTGTTTCTTTGACTCCACATTTTGGCTGCTTCCCTGTGTTTGTTTCTATGTATTAGGGAGGGCTGCTAGGTCTCCTGGAATTGGTAGAGTGGCCTTATGTAGTAGGTGTCCTGTAGGGCCCAGTGGCTCAGGGTGGAGGTGCCCACACAAGGCCCAGCTGTGAAGCCAGGCAGGCTGGTACTAGTGTTGGGTCTTGAGTCTTTTATTGATAGATGTGGGGCATGCTGTCACCAGCTGCAGTTCGTTTGAGAGATTTTAGTAAAGTCTGAAGCCAGGACAAGCCTTTCATATGAAAAGCTGCTTCAACCAGCTTGGGTGGGGCTGCAAATTGGATGGGGCGGGATCTCAAGGCGTCCCCAGGGCGGAGCAAACAATGTGGGCCATATTGATGGAAACTCAGATACGGCTGCCAGTCAGCCCTATGACAGGCACAGTGACCCCCTGGAGCTGTGCCCCGGGACGACTGCCCGGATGCCAGAAAATCCAGTTCCTCCCCTATGTGTCTGGGTCCCGCAGTGCTGGAACTTGGAAGAAGCCAGGAGCGTAAGTTTGTGTGCGCCTTTAACAGGAACACCTGGGATTCCAACAGCCTCCATGTCCCTGAACTCCAAACCCCGCTGGTTTTTACAGCCCTTAATTGCGAGGACTTCTCTTCCCTGCTCTGGAACCCTGGGCTGGGGGGCTGGTGTGGGGCTGGGACCCCTTGTTCCTTACGGGCAGCCTCCGCGGGAACAATCTCCTTCCCGATTACAAAAACACACATCGGTTCCAAGCGTCAGGCCCTGGTACCCATCTCAATGTGCTTTTTTTCTTTACTTCTCTAGTTACAGGACTTCCATTCAGCAGCTTTCAGGCGGTTCTAAATGATGGTTGTTCTACATTTTAATTGTAATTCTGATGTGGTTGTGGGAGGTGGCCATCTTGGTTCTTTTCTAAATATCTTTAATTAGGCAAACCCTCAAGTAATTAAGCTTCCAGAAATGCATACATTTCTTAGAAACGCCTTTATGTTTTGAAACAACTTTAGAAGATGCGCCTTTTGCTTCATGTTCAGTGCTGTAGATACCTTGTGCTTACCGTCAAACAGATTAAACAAATGAGTGGTCAGCTTTGCATACGAGAGTCACTGGCTTCCTGTTACCTGTCAGGGCCCACAGTGTAAGTCCACAGGTGTGGCTTCACTGAGTGTTTACTGTGCTCCGCAGGAGAGATCCTGTGAAAATCACGCCCAGTTGTTGGGGAAACACGCCTAAGTGTTGCATAAACAGAGATCGGGTGCCCGGGATGGGAGAAGGCATTGGGGTACCAGAAAGGCCAACCCGAAGCCTCTCATCCTAAAGACAAGGCATTACATTTGCATCAGCACCACCCCCTTACGGGCTCTGGGGCCAAGATGCCATGCTAGGCACCGGGGATGCAGAGAGGCCCACAGAGGGCCATGGTCACTCAAGAACAGAGCAAAAATACTGTCACACAATGTGCTCAGTGGGTGGTGGAAAGAAGCATGAGGTGCAAAGAAAAAAAAAAAAGTAAGCCAAAGGTGAGAGCAGCCAGCTCAGCTCAGAGGGCTTCCAAGAGGTGACAGAGGGGCAGGGCCTTGTGGGGTGGATAGGAGCTCTCTGAGAGGAAGGAGAAGATAGTAGTCAGAGGTGCAGAGGGCTGTCCAGCAGGTGACCATAGGGAGCATTCATCTACCCATCCTAATGCAAGTATGTGTTCTAGGCCCTGGGGGAAGAAAGACCAGCACCATGGTTGGCAAACTGTGGCTCGTGAGCCACATGCAGCTCTTTGGCCCCTTGAGTGTGGCTCTTCCACAAAGTACCACAACCTGGGCGAGTCTATTTTGAAGAACTGGTGTTAGAAGAAGTTTAAATTTAAAAATTTTGGCTCTCAAAAGAAATTTCAGTCATTGTGCTGTTGATATTCGGCTCTGTTGCCTAATGAGTTTGCCGACCACTGGGCCAGCATATTCACAGCTGGGAGGTGGGAGGAGCTTAGGGAGCAGGTGGGAGAGTGGGGAAGAGAAGACCCAGGAGTTGAGCAGGGGCAGAACCTCAGAGTGCAGGCAGTGGCAGGGGGTGTCTTCATGCTAAGAGAAACAAACAGGAAGCGCTAGAGCAAAAGGATGACGGAGTCAGATCTGCATTGTACAGAGGCTTCGTGTGGAGGGGACAGGGATGCCAGCAGACAGCCCACAGAGGAAGCCTTTGCAGGACCTTTGCTTAATGGTAAGTGTTGTAGATACCTTATGCCGACCGGTCCAACAGATTAAGCAAATGAATGCTCATCTTCACATGCAAGAGTCACTGGCTTTCTATTACCTCTCCATGTCCACATTTTAAGTCCACAGGTGTGGCTTCAGGAGAGCACTGGACGTTTACTGTGCTTGGCGGGAGAGATGGTGTGAAAATCACTCCCAGCTGTTGGGAAAACATGCCTAAGTGTTTAATAGATAGAGATCTGGTGTGTGGGGGGCAAAGGGGGATAGGGGATGGGGAGAAGGGAGACGGGAGAGGACAATGGGGTACCAGAAAAGCCAATCCAAAGCCTCGTGCCCTAAAGACAAGGCATTACAAGGACAAGAGATGAAGGTGGTAATAAAAAGAAGTGTCCAGATAGGCAAGGCATTTGAGAAGTAAGCTCAGCAGGGCTTGAGGAGTGGATTAGACATGCAGAGTGAGGAAGAGGGAGGTGTCTGGGTGGAGAGTTCGGGAGGACATGGTTATCCTGTAGAAGAGAGTAGGAGTATGTCATGAAGACACTGCATGCTGAGAAATTTATACATATCCTCTTGGCAAGTCGTCAAGAGCAGGGAATGGAGTTGAATGGGAGAACAGTATAAAATGCTATGCAGAACTTTGGTATCAGACATAATTAGATCCTTGGTCTTCTTACTTGCTGCACCCAGGGCAAATGACTTAATGTGTTTGAATCTCCATTTGCTCATTTGTAAAGTGAGATCATCCCTAGCTGGTTTGGCTCAGTGAATAGAGTGTCCGCCTGTGGACTGGAGGGTCCCAGGTTTGATTCTGGTCAAGGGTACACACCTGGGTTTCAGACTCAATCCACAGTAGGGGCAGCCAACCAATGATTCTCTCTCATCATTGATGTTTTCATCTCTCCCTCTCTCTTCCTCTCTGAAATCAATATATATATATATATATATATATATATATATATATATATATATAAATATAAATATAATATCTTATATATATATATAATTTTTTTTAAAGCCTGGCTGACATGGCTCAGTGGTTGAGCATTGACCTATGAACCAGGAGGTCACGGGCTTGATCCTAGGTCAGGGCACATGCCAGGCTGGAAACCCAGTAAGGGACAGCCAATTAATGATTCCCTCATCACTGATGTTTCTATCTTTCTCTCCCTCTCCCTTCCTCTTTGAAACCAATAAAAATATATTTAAAATAATGAAATAAATAAAATGAGATAATCATATTAGACTGGATCACAAAATTCAGATTTTTGTGGATTAAAAACAGTAAAAAGTCAGCAATTTTATAAATCCATCCTAAGATGATTTTGCTAGTGCACGCATTTTCCTCATCTTCATTATCATTGCCTTCATTGCATTAAGCATTTGTTCGGGGTTGCCAGAGGAGTTGGGCTGCCTGGCTGAACCAAGCTGAGCTCCTGCTCACCTGGCCCATCCCCAGAACAAATGTCTCTTCCACACAGCAGTGCAGCTCAGTGGCCCTTCTCCCTGACGCTGAAAATATCCCAGCCAACCTGGACGGGCACCCAGGCACGCCCTGCATTATACCTGGCCTGGCGGGTGTGGCCTGCGGGGAGGGAAGGTCTGAGGGAGCCTGAGAAAGCTGTGGGTGTGCGGGAGACGGGTGGAGGGACTTGGGGTCCAGT